TGAATGTGGCATGAATACCACATAGTGATGATAAAATATTCAAAATCAACCATGGCATAACAAAATGGGGTAATTCATGACCATAATGGTTTGTTTTGTTCAGCCTGCATTCAACTGCATTGCATGTTAAACAATCTAAAATAGCTTCAGAATATGTGACGTAAATGTCGGTCCCGGGGTACCTGTACCTCCTTCACGGAAATAAGGATATATCAACATGTAATATATATATATTGTCTTCAAATCTTCAGCGGTGGTAGATAATTGAATGATGTATCACTGGTAAGAAAATCGAAGGGATTGGTCTATAAAAAGCATCTGTGTAAAAAAGCGTCCATTACTTATTGATCACCCCTCGTATAAATAATTTTCGCATTAAATTGTTGTCAATCAGTTAACATTACATATAGAATCATGTTTTTTAAAGAATGTTTTCATTAATTGGTTTAAGAGAAAAAACATTGTTGAACTCAGTTCACCATATCGATACCTATCCTTTGCATTTTGGTTGCCCTTTTACGATGTCTGACATGCCACATTAATTATGGACATTATATTTATCAAGTATCAAGGTTCTCACCAGGACATTTTAAGACCCCAGATTTTTGTGGTATTATGACTGAACTTCCCCCTCATGTGAGATCAGAGATATTCTATTAGTATACTTTTCAAAATACCGCTTCTTCCCATTTTAGTCACAATATACTTTTTAAAAGGTTTCTGATTTCATATCCCTTGTTTGTATCCAGTCTTATGTATTTTCCCAAGTGTTTTACCATAAATAATGTGACAAAAATGTAGAATTAGACAGTAAGGGCACAAACACTAGTTTGAGATCATTTCAACAAATGTGGAATAATGAAACTCATTCCTTTAGGTAGGGGAAGGTGCGTTAGTGAAAGATAATCTCACTATATAGGGAAGGGGTTTTAACTACAGTATATACAAAATTTACTCATCAGTTTTCCCACTTTTGTTCAATAGAGAGTTTTTTTATATAGCTATCCATTTTCAGAGAACTTGGACATGAACTTGAAATACAAAGGATTTACTGTCCTCTCTCAATTTTTTTCCATGGACCTAATAATATAATTATTTTTTCCTTATATCTTTATACTCAATCGAGCAAGTGAATACTCTGAAGGGTGGAACTAATACTTAATGTAATTTAATTATTAATACTGTACTCCGGGTAAATTTCGACGCTATAAAATTTCGCGATTTTTCAAAATTGCAATTTCGCGGCTATTTAATTTCGCGGATTTGAGTTGATGACATTTCGCAGATTGCACAAGTTGAATTTTTTCCGATTACCGTGAATCAAAGCAGGCTATTTTAGCCCGTTCAGAATCCAAATAATGTTTGTATTTCCCACGTTTAGGGCATTTATTTGAATGGCTTTTTCAACTTCAATTTGTAGGATATCATTGTTGTCAACAGTTCTTGCCTTTGTTGGCCTAATAAGCCAATTCAAAATGTTTTTAGGCCTTCGCCCAACAACACTGGAAGAAACGTTTCACACCGAATGAAACATATCAAAAGGCCTGGGTTAAATCCCCGGGGATTTAAGACAAATTTTGCGACGATAAATGTTCGCGATTTTACTACATTCGCGAACAAAGCGAAATTAAATCGCACGCGAACATTACCCGGAGTACAGTAGTTCTCAAAATGTTGAGCTCAACCTCCCTTCTATTTGGACACAATTCCTTTCTAAAATACTTTATAACCATGAATAGAAATTGGCACTTTATTTTCTTATCCTACTCTTTCACTTTTTCCTTTCTTTATCATGATTGTATTATTATCCCCTGATTATGGTACAACATCTGCTACAGTAAGGAAAACAATTATTATAGAAACAACTACTATATTTATATCATAAACATTGCAGTTGTATCTGATCACTGGATATGGTACAGTATAACCCATATAATTGAACAACGCTTAGTAAACCTCTTAAACAAGTGTGCAATGTTTCTATGTGAAAATAAATGCTTTTTATGTCCAACCCCTAGAGTTGGCACCAGTGGATCTAGACGGGGGTGTGGGGGGCGCACGCCCACCCCCCCCCCCCTAAAAAGTCGGAAAATTTGTGTTTTGCCTCATCGCTTTTTTTCAAAATTTGACTCTTCGCACATAGTTATTATTACACGCCCCCCCCCCCCCTAACACAAAATCCTGGATCCGCCCCTGGTTGGGCCATATTGACAGTCTATGTCTGTCCATCTGTTCGTCTGTCCATCTACAGCAAACTGGTTCCTCCGTTTTCTCTAAGGTAACAATTTTGTGGAGTTCTGTGTTAGATGACTTGAATGTGGTGATGAATATTCTTATTAGTGGCTCATGCAATTTTAGGGTGGTAAGGAGGGCAATGTTTCTTTTTGAAAGTAAATCATTTTTATAATACATTATGCTTTGATTTATATTAGTGTGTAGAAATGTAAGTAAATAATAATAAAATATTAGTATAACGTTGAATGCTAATTGCTCAAAGTCCTGTTTCTTGTATTATATTTCCATTTGAAAATGGTGCAGAACAGGCTTAAATGTTGTTAAATCAGTGAAAGTAGTTGGAACTAAACAATATGGATGCTCTAGAGATCAAGTTTACTCAATATGTTCTGGCAGCAACCCTTTCTGCAATTCAGTTAAAATACATTAAAAAACGAGAGGAGAATAAGAATGGAATTGCTGTACTTTTCACCCCACTAGAGATGTGTTGCAATGTTATACAGTCAAGCATTAATTGCAGTAAAAAGTGTGTACAACATGCAGAATATTTATAGCAGTTAGTCAATGATATTAACCGTCCCCCCCCCTGGCCAAAAATCCTTTCAAAATCATGCAGTCTTCCACTATTTTGAGCACTTCATAAGTGATTTTAGCCATATTTGGGCCAAAATTGTCAAAAGTGAACCCCCCTGGACATTTTTGAAAACTGAACCCCCTCTCCCCTTGGCAAATCCTTGCTACGGGCCTGGGTTGCTATCATGTTCTGCTTGCACTAGGGATAAAATAGGAACATAGATAGAACAAGATGAATTGTCAAGGCAGGAACAAGACTTATGAGTTAAGAAATGTTTAAATGTGTATGGAGGTATTTGAAATGAGGTAGAACTATTTTTTAGATACGTTTAGACAGGCTTGAATTATTTTTCATCTTTGCATTATGGTAGAATACTAGCTATATATTATCATGAGTTTCTGTAGGGAGTCATTACACCTTCATTGCTGCATTTCATTTTTGCATTTCATTCAATATATTACTGTGGCTACTATTATAGTGATTGTCAATTTCATTTATCAGCAACACAGGATATAGTTTTTTATGATAATTAAATAACTCCAAATTGATGTTCCAGATCATGTCCCCAACATGAGTGGGGTTTATCATGAACCTTGTATTCTGTCCATTCATTTGTCTGCTTGTGCAACCAAATCACAGCAGGTGGGCAGGTATCCTGTAATGCTGATTTCTCTTCTTCCTCTCATATCTGATGTTTTGTTTTGTTGAATTTGTTTTGCTTATGTTATCTCTTATATTTGATGTTTGTTAGCTTTTTGTAAAACTCTTACAATAATTGCACTTTGCTGAGTATAACAGAAACTTCAATGAAAAAACAACACTTGCTCAACGCAATAAATATGCAATAAAGATAAAATCATTGTGGGAATAAAAGTTGTTTGTTCAGAAATGAAATCAGATAATGTTTTATTAATTTGCGCAATAATTGAAAGTATGTCTTTAATATCTTATGGAGAATGTAGAGAATGGCTCTGTCTGTCCATCTGTCTGTCCAGGCATTAACAATGGCATCCATTTTTACATGTTTCATATTTTTGAATCAATTTTGTCGAAATTTTAAATGTGAATAGTTTATGATAACACAGAATAAAATTCTGCACTGAGGGCTGGTATGAAATGTGACCCTCATAAAACACTGTCTATAATGAAATGACAGCCATGTCTTAATGATGGGATTTGCTTCGCTATGGTGTTGCTGTTATAGTGTTATTCTATTTATGTTCTTCCCTTTGCCTGTTTAGAATAAAATAGAAAGCATTTATGATCACTGGCTTTTTAAGCCATAAATAGATCCTCCAAAATTGTGATCATAACATATGTTTAATGACTTACCACAACAGTGTGATTGAGGATATATCAGCTCAGATGTACCTGGTTTATGTTCCACCCATCCACCCAATCATTTATCCATCCGTCCATCTATCCACTCATCCATCCATCTGTCTGTCCATCTGTTAGTCCATCTATCCACCCATCAATATATTCATCCACCCCTACATTCATCCATCCATCTATTCATTCATCCATACATTCGTCCATCCCTCTACCTGTTTGTCCATCCATCCATATATTCATCCATCCACCAATCCACCCACCCATCCATCAATCCATACATTCGTCCATCCCTCTACCTGTTTGTCCATCCATCCATATATTCATCCATCCACCAATCCACCCACCCATCCATCCATCCATACATGCATCCACCCACCCATCCATCCATCCCTCCGTTAATTCATCCATCCATACATTCATCCATCCCTCTATCTGTTTGTCCATCCATCCATACATGCATCCATCCACCCACCCATCCATCCATCCATCCATACATGCATCCACCCACCCATCCATCCATCCCTCCGTTAATTCATCCATCCATACATTCATCCATCCCTCTATCTGTTTGTCCATCCATCCATACATGCATCCATCCACCCACCCATCCATCCATCCATCAATCCATCCACCCATCCATTAATTCATCAATCCACCCATCCATCAATCCATCCATCCATCCATCCACCCACCAAAAACTGCAATCACTCGAAATATTAAAAACAGGCATGCACTTACATCTGATTTTGTATGCTTAAGCTAGACTTAAATTCTTGAATAAAATTTATTATTCATACATATTCCAATTTGTATAGCTCTTTATACACATCTGAATATTGTCCATCATATGTTGCAGGGCATATGATCACATTCTTATAGGGGCGCTGAGACTATTTGCACTTCTGTCAACAGAGAATTACCCAGTAAGTTATATTAACATCCTCAAATAATTGTTATTTACTGCATTATTGCAAACAACCGTAATAGTATGTGATCTAGTCAATCTATCTTCCTGAACTTCCTAAACTCTCTTCCTGAAGTTGATGACATTCATGGCTGTTATAACAAGAAACTGAAACCGGAAATTTTTTAGTATGAAATTCTCTATTAATTTCAATTTGTGTGTGTTATTTTGTGAATTTATCAAATATCTGGTGCTTCATGTCATTGATATTATAAAAGAACTATTTGGCATTTTCAAATTACAAATCATAGCAATCATAGTGTCAAAGCAAGTGAAGGCAACGTGACTACCTAGAAATGTACTTTGGCTGCTACCAGAACATCAACATAACACAGCCATACCATGACAATTAGTATTATTAATAAAAATACTATAGTTGCGTGGGCCCAGGTGTGTGGGTTATTGGAGTTCCGTTATAACCCCGTGCCCTGGAAGTGAACCAATAATAAATATGTATGAACAAGTGCCAAAGGAAAAGGACTGATTATTACAAAACATGCATGTAGTACTATATCCAGTAGTGACATATTGTTATAGTCTCCAACTTTTTGTGCATGGCATTTGGCAGTTGGTGTAATTGTTTTTTGGCACCTGCAGCTACAACATTCAATAGCTTAACAAGTACATGTACTGTTTATAACTGACTTTTTAATATCAACATTTATTAACAAATTGTTATGATTTTCAACACATTTCTACCAATTTCTTTTACCATGGCAACAAATAAGAGGACATTGAAAAAGGTCAAAATAGGTCTTTTTCAACTTGCCTCAAATTAACCAGAAGTTCTAAGAAGTTCAAATGTGACTTTCGATTTGAGAGTTGACTTTGAAAGTTAAAGAAATTACATTTATTTTAGATGCTTGTATTTGCTCAACGTCTCTACATTATTGGGATCTTATTAAGGATGTCTTTTCCTCATATAAAGGAGGGGTTATTGTATTGCTCTCATTGTTTTAAAAGTTATGCCACGAATGATAATACATCAATGAATTCAAGAATTTATTTTCCAACTCAGTGAACAATTCACTCACATGTTTTCCAGGAGTTGATGATTCCTGCTTATTCTGTGAACAATGCAAACTTCTTCTACTTTGGTATCTTCCTCTATTTTGGTGTGTTTATCCTCACTACTGTACTGCTGGCCATAGTTGTAGAGAGCTACTGGTAAGTGTAAACTAACTTTATTTTGGTGAGCTACTGTACTGCTGGCCATAGTTGTAAAGAGCTACTGGTAAGTGTACACTAACTTTATTTTGGTGAGCTACTGTACTGCTGGCCATAGTTGTAGAGAGCTACTGGTAAGTGTAAACTAACTTTATTTTGGTGAGCTACTGTACTGCTGGTCATAGTTGTAGAGAGCTACTGGTAAGTGTAAACTAACTTTATTTTGGTGAGCTACTGTACTGCTGGCCATAGTTGTAGAGAGCTACTGGTAAGTGTAAACTAACTTTATTTTGGTGAGCTATTGTACTGCTGGCCATAGTTGTAGAGAGCTACTGGTAAGTGTAAACTAACTTTATTTTGGTGAGCTACTGTACTGCTGGCCAAAGTTGTAACGAGCTACTGGTAAGTGTAAACTAACTTTATTTTGGTGAGCTACTGTACTGCTGGCCATAGTTGTAAAGAGCTACTGGTAAGTGTACACTAACTTTATTTTGGTGAGCTACTGTACTGCTGGCCATAGTTATAAAGAGCTACTGGTAAGTGTAAACTAACTTTATTTTGGTGAGCTACTGTACTGCTGGCCATAGTTGTAAAGAGCTACTGGTAAGTGTAAACTAACTTTATTTTGGTGAGCTATACTGTACTGCTGGCCATAGTTGTAAAGAGCTATTCTGAAAATGTAAACTTACTTTATTTTGGTGAGTTTATCCTCACAGTACAGCTGGCCAAAGTTTTAGAGAAGTTGAATTAATATCAGTATAATTTTGTCTAATTGTGGTATTATTTGTTAATCTGCATTAATCATGTTCACCTAACACTTCATTAGTCAGGGCAAAGACAAAAATTAGAGAGCAATGTACAACATAAGAAAAACACAAAACAATTGTTCCCCCTTTTCTTTTTTCAGGGATGTATCCAAGAAGTATATAAAGAAAGAAAGGAAGCGAGAAAGGACTGAGCTTGCCAAAGCTTGGAATCTCTTGGACCCATTGGGTGATGGCATCATCGCAACAACAGAGCCAAAGTTTTTTGCCCTCTTCCGTATGGTCAAACCAAAGGTACTGTTGAAGACTTTGAATTCAGTATGAAAGCTATTACTAAAAGCAAAGATCCAAGTGCTTCACGGCAAACATTTGGCATCCCCACGAATTAAATTACTCATTGACAAGTTGTTATATAGTCTCCAACTTTTTGTGGATGGTGTTTGTCCATCAAAGTTAAGCATCTGTAACAAATGGCCAGTGATGACATTTTGCATTTCATAATGCCTTGTTTACTTGTCCTATGAGCTAACAATACATAAAGCTCTCCATTGACGCGCATTATTCTCCGAGCTAATTGCAGAAGCCTAGTTGTAATTGTGTGATTGTTGTAATTATGTTGTTGTTATGTCACCACCAGAAATGTTGACATACATAGGCGTAGTGCCCGGTACGCTGGGTACGCACAGGCGTACCAGATGGTTGCAAATTCTCTCTAAATACAACCAAATTTCCTAGGGGACAACCCCCCCCCCAAACCCCCCTAAACGCTCGTTTTTTGCTTCGCTCAACTACTGTTCCTGCGACGGCGTACTACTTATAATAGCGCTACGCCCATGACATATTCATATGGTCTCCAACTTTCATGTGGACAGTGTTTGGAAGTTGGTGTTTGGCATTCAGCGGTTGGTGTCTTTAATAAATGGCAGGTGGTGACATTTTTAAAATGATATTGTTGTTCAAAGTTGTTGATTTTCTTTCTCAGAGATATTTATTTTTCTTTTTGACGTTTCGTAGGATGTCCATCCTACTTCTTCAGAAATAAAATTATATTTGAATCAAACTGAAATAATTAATTAATCTCTGAGAAAGAAAATCAACAACTTTGTACATTACTACCAGAGAGATGAACATTCATAGAAGATATTATTGTTGTTTCAGTTGAGGGACTGTGATGTCAAAGAAATCCTTGATTACATAGATGATGATGGGGATGGTGGTATAGCTACCATAGAGTGGATAACACGACTCACAGACGCTCTCAATTATGAATTTGAAAAACCCATAGCATCATTTAAGGTACATTTTGCTCTATAAAGCATGTACAGTTTACTGGTATATCGTAAAACCTGTCTAATCTTAACACTTTTGGGACTGTTTAAAAGTGTTCAGGCTTGCCAGTGTTCAGATTTCAAGTTTTCCGTAACATGTGACTTGATGGGAGATAACTAAATTTAGACCAAGAAAAACTGTTCACATTGAGAGGTGTTTTCATAAACAGGTTTTACTGTATCAATATTTTGCAAGATGTAGAATATATTGGTAATTAGCCAGTTTTGAATATTCTGAAAAATATTGTCAACATCTTGTTATAAAGAAATAAATTGTTTTGAACTTGTAATTAGTTGGTCCCAAATTTCTGTGTAAAAATTAACTCATCTGGTCAATTCTTTTAATAACTTCACTTGTAAATGCTCATTGAGGATTTGTTTGAAATTGGCTGGTTATACACACTGTGCCATCACAGGGCAAATTATTGGTGATGATTTTCAATTAATCAAAACAATAAATAAAAAGGTCTTATTTCTTTTAATGAATGGTAATAAGATTTTCTAATGAATATGAAGGAACATTTAAATGAACATTTAACTCTCAAAGAATTTACAGCAGAATTGATTCAGTGGTGACAATTTGTTATTATAGTCTCCATATTTGTGGATAGTGTTCTGCAGTGGGCAGAATCAGGGAAAACTGGTCATTTTGATTTAAAAATATAGTGGCAACAACCCCATAGTTGTAAGCCATGTGTCACCATCTTTGTCTTTCACTACAAAGATGTGGCTTCCCCATTTGTGACCAAGTAACCTTGTTTGTGCAGAAAACTGGTTAATTACAAAACCCACTTAGTGATCTTTTTTATGTGTTATTCATTAGTTACTATAGTATCCCAATGAATGAAATTTGATAGGGATATAGTGAAGCCCTCCATCGGTCAGTTAGTCAGTCTGTCCGTCTATCTGTCCATCCTAATGATAGCTGGAATACTATATCTAGTAGTCTGATCTTCTTCAGATTCTGTGTAAAGATATATATGATTTATGCCTTTGAAACTCCTAGATGGTCATCCAAATACTTAAATCAGTGGATATAGTAGATGGTGAACATTACATTGTGACATATTCAGATTTATAAATATGTTGTTTGTTGGGTATTGCTACTCCGTGGAGTTGCCAATTTTTAGTTTCACGAAGAATATTGCAATAAATTCACATGTTTGGGTGGCTGGGCAATATCATTATCAGCCACATTCATAAAATTAATCACGGTTTATTTAATCCTTGATCACATTTAACACATTATTGTCGCTTATGCTTCAATGAGGCTTTAAATATGAAACTATGTTAAAAGTCTCTTACCTTTCTATTTCCATCCTTAATGCATCACAAGGAAATTAAAATCAAAAGTGTTTTTTGAAATGTAATTTCAGCTCATTTGTCATTGTTCATTCACAATGAAAGGTTGGAGTCATGGAAGTTAGACAAACGAAAAAGCAAAAAGTATTCCAACTGTAATTTCACATTTTTATCACACCATCATGTTGTCATGGTGATGGCATTATCAGGATTGTGATCGTGATTGTCCCACCTTTTTGTCATAGCGGTTTCAGGAAAACTGCTCATCGGATTTTCTCCAAACTCGCACACATGATATAGGATATTGTGTTCTGGAGCAGATTAACTTTTTGGCGACCATCTTGTTTTCTGGCAGTCATTTTGAAGGTTTTTTGTTTAAATCTTGTCATCGCTATTTTAGGAAAACCATTCATCGGATTTTCTCCAAACTCGCACACATGATAGGGGATATCAAGTTCTAGATCAGATTAGCTTTTTGGTGGCAATATTGTTTTCTGGCAATCATTTTGAAGGTTTTTCATTTAATCTTCTCATCGCCATTTTAGGAAAACTGTTCATAGCATTTTCTCCAAATTCACACACATGATAGAGGACATCAAGTTCTAGAGCTGATTACCTTTTGGGTGGCCATCTTATTTTCTGGCAGCCATTCTGAAGGTTTTTCGATAAATCTTATCATCGCCATTTTAGGAAGACTGCTTATGGGACTTTCACAAAATTTGCAAATATGATAAATGATATCAAGTTCTAGAACTGATTAACTTTTGGGTGGCCATCTTGTTTTCTGGTGGCCATTTTGAAGGTTTTTCGATGAATCATGTCATCGCCATTTTAGGAAAACCACTTATTGGATTTTCTCCAAATTTGCACAAATGATAGAGGATATCAAGATCTAGAACTGATTAACTTTTGGGTGGCCATTTTGAAGGTTTTTTGATAAATCTTGTCATCGCCATTTTAGGAAAATTGCTCATCGGATTTACTTTAAATTTGCACACATGATAGAGGATATCAAGTTCTAGAGCTGATTAACTTTTCGGCAGCCATCATTTTTTCTGGTGGCCATTTTGAAGGTTTTTCAATGGCGTGATCTCATTCATGTCATGTGCCTTGTTCATATATTCTGTTCATTTTTTATTTTATATATATAATTATTTTCCAATTAAACTACAACTGCCAGTATCTTAAAAATAACTTTTTACTATTTATGAATGATGGCAAGAAATTCAAAAGTATTTAATGAAAATAAGCAGTGAAAATACACTAAAAGTACTTTTCATTGACACCAAAGAAATCCCATAAAAATGTGACACCTCAAATTGACGTATCACTTATTGTTTAATGGTTACAAAATGCTTTTAACAGATTACCTCTCCCAAGTGGCTGGCTGTATTGTGCAATAGCATAAGAAGTGTTGTAAAGACAGGTACTTTTGAGAGGATAGTGCTGGTGCTCATTATCGCTCACAGGTAAGGGAGGTAAAATTTCAAAAATGAAAATCAGTTTAATTTCTGCTCGAAAATAATCTCTACCATCTATGGTATTTCACATGATGCAAATTCTAATTTCACCTTTATTGTAGTCACATGTTAATTTTAAATTAATCATTGCCCATTCTCCATAGCATTGTCTATATCTTAAAAGTTTACATAAAGAAGTCAACTTTTGGCCCAAAAGTTAAGGAGAAATGATTTTCTTAAATTTTACACAAATGAGATTTAGTCACTTTAAAGTACAAAAAAAAAAATTCATTTTTATACATTTCATATAATGATTAACTCTTAGAGTTTTTTTTAGAATTATCAAAATTCAGTACAAGCACACATGAAACTTGTGACCCCAATCATGAAGGCATTTTAATTTGCCATAAGTTAATCCTATATTTCGTGGTAAACATTGCTGCGTGTTACCTAGGACATCCTGAATCTCGTCAATATAATTTGATTTATATATTGACAAAAGGTCTATTTTAAGCATTCCACAGAGAATATGCTTTACTCATATACGTTGAAATAAACCTATTTATATCCTTTATAAATTGTAAATCTTTAATCCATATTCTAAACCATACTTGTATCATCAATATGATCAGTACACAAAGGGCAACATTCTAATTTAAGAAACGCCCAAAACTTAATCTTTATTTTGTTTTATTTCAGTATTTTATTTTGTGTCCACTGGCATAACATGACTGAAACTCAAATGTACATTATACAAGGAATGAAGACCGGAATTGTTGGATTGTTCTTTGTAAGTAACACATTGATCATTTTTAATAACTTTAATATTACATACTGGGGGCAAATATTGGTGTATCAATAATCTCTATCGAAAGTAATTTCAAAGGGAAGTGCACAAGGCCTGTTTTGATGAAGATAACAACATTGAAGTTAAATGTCAATTCATTTGGGCTCCTGAGGGGTCTAGTATACTTTGTTAAATTACTTTTATAGAGAACACATTGATATTTTGATACAGTCCCTAAGGGGACATGTAGTGTTAGGTTGGTAGACTTAAGTCTGTGTTGTTTTAAAAGACTCCGACATATTGCCAGGTTAACTTTAGGTCTACTCCAGGTCAACTTAAGGTCTACATCCAGATTAACTTTAGGTCTACTCCAGGTTAACTTTAGGTCTACTCCAGCCAGGTTAAATTTAGATCTACTCCAAGCTAACTCCAGGTCTACTCCAGGTTAACTTTGGGTCTACTCCAGGTTACCTTTGAGTATACTCCAGGTTAACTCTAGGTCTACTCCAGGTTACCTTTGGGTATACTCCAGGTTAACTCTAGGTCTACTCCAGGTTAACTTTGGGTATACTCCAGGTTAACTCTAGGTCTACTCCAGGTTACCTTTTGGTCTACTGCAGGCTAACTTTAAGTCTACTTCAGGTTAACTTTAGTTCTGCTCCAGATTAAATTTTAGTCTACTATAGGATTACGTGTACTTTCAGTCTTAGTAGCAGGTTAGCTTTCAGTCCCAATTTGGTCTATGTCCCATATGGTTCAGAGAAGGATGAAGGGTATTTTATGGAATGCTTTTACAGTTACGATTTAGAAGACTTGGAGTAGGATTTTGGCTAAATGATATAAACTTTGTTTTGACTGTTTATGATAGGTGATGAAACAAAACAATAACAATACATTATATTCAATATAGATTAGCAAATGACTAATAAACATAAACAACTTTTATCACAACAATTTGATGTTGATATGATTGGTTTCTTTTAAGAATGCATTATTTTGTTTATTGGGCAAATTTTTTATGGTATTGATAATCAATGTGATGGATAAATCGCATGGTAAAAAAACAAAATGATCATCAAAAGAAACTAGTCGTGAGATCTAAAAATTGTTTTACGTTACAGGCGTATCATTTCACCAACTCTAAAAGCTTTCCTGGTGATTAGTAGCATTTTAAAACCCTGGGAAAATCCCAGAGTTATTTTAGTGAGTAAACAAGTGTCTGATATATCTCAATGGGTTACCGTCATATACGCATGAAACGCTATGGCATACTCTCAAAATTTAGAGAAAGTTTAATTTTTTATATCAAATTTTATCAATTTTATTAATCCATTAGTCGGTATTTCGTATATTAAAATGCCTCATAACGCTTCAAATGCCCACGCTACGCCACTCAGTTACTCTCGGATTTCAAAAGGTTCAAACTATTTGTAGTGCCTGGGGTAAACAAGTATTTCATTATATCAATTGCATTAAATGCATTAGTCATATGTATTTATCAGTTTTGTTCTATCACATTGGAATTGATTCTAAGGCAATTGTGAGTAGAACATTTTTATGTGTGAAGGTTAAAATTAAGGAAATCAAAGTTTTTAACTTTAAACCAAGGTAATAAATACAATGTAGTCATAACCATATTTAGTATCTGCAGATTCAAAGTTTTCTTCATTAGGCATTCAAAACTGACTCTTTGGATTAAAAAAATTGAATGATATAATAAAGTAGTCATTTTATTTGAAAGCTTGGATATCCCTTTGTAGTGAGTTTCTTGTAGAATTCTACTTTTTGGGAAACTCACATTTTTGTGCCAAAGCTGGCAAGTAAATGTACATGCATGTATGCAGTGTTTTTGGTAATTAGATTGTAATTATCCCATCGAACCAAGTTAGGAGGGATTTCGGGAACGCCTCCGTCCGTCCGTCCGTCCGCCCGTACGTCCGTACGTACGTCCGTCCGTCCGTCTGTCCGTCCGTCCTGGCAATAACTCAAATACCGTTGGCCCGATTTTGTTCATATTTTGTACACATATACCCTATGGTGCTAGAAGTTCTGCTCGAAAGCCAATTCTCAAAATGGCCGCTCATTTCAAAATGGCGGCCATTTTAGTGCCGATTTTACAGTAATTTAGGTGCAATATGTAAAACTGTAATAGCAATATGTTTTAAATGTAAAAAATTATAAAGGACATTAATAAAGCTACAAATGTAGATATTAAAGAAGCACATGGCAGCCATCTTGAAAAATGGCAGCCTTTACTCGTTATTTTACGATTTTTGTTGTAACTCGAAAAGTAGTTGAGCGATTATGTTCATATTTGGTATGTGAATACTATAAGCATTGGACACTGTCTAAAGACATTTTTGGTAGAAGGTGGCCATTTTGAAAAATGGCCCCATTTTAACGTATTTTACTATAACTTGAAAAGTAGTAGAGCGATTTTGTTCATATTTGGTATGTTTCATATTTTATATGTGAATACTATAAGCATGGCACACTGTCTAATGACACTTGGGGTAGTAGGCGGCCATTTTGAAAAATGGCCACCATTTTTACGTTTTTTACTATAACTTGAAATGTAGTGAAGCGATTTTGTTCATATTTGATATGTGAATACTCATGAGCCTTGCACACTGTCTCATGACACTTCAGATAGTAGGCGGCCATTTTAAAAAATGGCTGTCATTTTTACATTTTTTACTATAACTCAAAAAGTAGTGGAGCGATTTTGTTCATATTTGATATGTGAATACTTTAAGCATGGCACATTGTCTCATAAAACTTTGGGGAGTAGTCGGCCATTTTGAAAAATGGCCACCATTTTTATGTGTGTTATTTTACAAGTACTTGTGTGTGATTTTTCAAAAATTTTATAGGTGGCTACTAAAAAGGATATTATTTCTTCTGATGACAACTTGGCTAGTGAGCAACCATTTTTGAAATGGTGGCCTTTCTGGTGTGTTGTTTTATGATATTTGCTATATATTTCGTTTGTAAAAATGCCAGCCATTTCTGTTCGATGGGATTCGCTACGCTTTGGCGTTGCCGTTGTTCTGGTTTGGTATCAAGATATTTTCCCCTGATGTGTAGATTGTAATTTGGTATTGAGATGTTTTCTCTGATCTATTGCATAATGCTTAAAAGCTTTTTGAAACCAAGTAACTTAATTAATTGCTATTAATGGGTAAGGGGATCCCACATTAGATCCCCGATTAGACCTTCGATTTTAAGCAGTTTGGAAAATGGTGATACACGTATGTTCGCACTATTATTTGATGGCATTACATGGAGGTAAGTCCTGAGTGTGTAGATTGAAATACATCTAAATTCAAGTTATCCATTCCACCAAACAATCTTTAATTTTGTCTGTCTGTCCATCCATTAGTAGGTCTGTAATAACTGATAACTGAAATACCGGTTGTCAGATTTTGCTCACATTTTACTTATGCCTTATGTATCAAATTTGGGGAGCAACTCACAATATGCTTTAGTTTATAATGGCAGTCATTTTGCAAAAAGATGCAATCATTAATTACTCAAATATGGTTGGTGTTTTATTAGCATATTATGGGCATAAACATATTTAGACTATGGCTGCTCAATTCAAAATGGCTGCCATTTTCCATTAAGGAAGGAAGTAATTGTTGGGCTCTGGAATCTCTTTACCAAATAAGGTAATATTTGTTTTAAATAAACTGTTTATAATGATTTTCCTGTATAAGCTTTACAATGACTGTTTAAGAGAGAATTTTCAAGATAGCCTCAAAATTCAAAATGGCTGCCACTTTTCTAAAAAATTGATTTTTAAATATCGGGACCTGTATAATTAACCTCATAATACTTTGGAGGTGTTTCACTGATAGAGGTTTATTTTACTTTAAGTTTATGGGTAAAACTAAAATGACTAAATTTTTTCACCTGTGGAGATGTTGTGCTTTACAGCTAGAATGTTTCGCTTTACACATTTTAATGTTTAAACTCAAATGTTATTTCATATTCTAATATGATACGTGACGTCACACTAGCTAGAACAATTGATTTACTGGTCTATATTGGAGTATGCATGACCAATAAAATTCATAAATGCAAAAAAATCGTGTTTCTTGTCTGTTTATCATATTAGAATGTTTAAACTCAAATGTTATTTCATATTTTAGTTTGAAACTGTGCTGAGAATCTTAGGTCTTTGGAAGGAGCTGCTCCAGTTTGAGGAAATGATGGACATCACATTTACCATGATTGCCCTCATATCTAACATCCTTTGGTACTTTTACAGCGGTTTCACCAATTTTGAGGGTTTTGAGGTATGTACATTTTTGATCTCACAGATTTCTTGTTAGATAACCATTTTGGGGCAGTTCTTAGAATGGTTTTACTAGCATCTGATCTGATATTTTATATTTTCTAAATTTCTCATTTTAAAGCTTTTTATAAAGTTCATGTATAAGAAGACCTTGGGTTTTCTCCAATACTGAATTTGCATATACATGAATTTCTACAGTTTCAGATCTACTTATCACTATATGAGACTTCCATTTCATTCCATTTACTGGTTTTGGGTGTAATCTGAGTAAGACCATACTTCCATATGATTCATCTTTTATTTGAAGAAGCACTTTCTCTAATCTTGAAACTTGAGGGAGCTGTGCAATATGCCATGGTACTTTGGATCTGAGGAACTATACTAACCTAATCAAATTGCACAGATTGATTCTAGCTAAGATATAATAATTCTAAATATCTATGATGAAAACTGTATATTTTTTTAACATTTTCTTCTTATTTATCCAGATTCACACCTACCGTGGGGCATGTACAGTTGTATCCTGTCTATCTGTTTTCTGTCGCCTGATGTTCAACAGTCGTCACACTAGGAAGGCCCTTCATGTTTTCATTAAGATCTACCCTGTCATGTTTGACCTGATTATGCTGGTTATCATCATCATGTAAGTGTGTGGGTCACATTGTACAATTGAAAGAAGTTCAGATGGACAGAACGTTAATGTCTCTACCCATTTGATTGAACATAAATATTATTGGTTGGATTTTGCTATTACATAGCGTCAATTTTTATATGTGTATTTTTGCTAAATATGCATTGGTTCAAATAAACATGGATTCATAAAACATTTTCCTGTCATTTTATATTTTATTGAAGTAACCTGATAAAGTTTGGAGCATTATTTTACATGTAGTTTCCACTTATAGAATTCAAGTTGATAAATCTTCAAAAAGGGAGATACTTGGTCTTATTTCCTCAGCCCCATTTTAAATGTTCCAGAAACCTTCGGGTGCCTAATTTTAAGACAATGGAAAAATATCACGTGCATTAAGAAAATTCCTTATCTAATTAAGCAGTAATTTTCAGATATTTCTATGGAATACTTGGCTTAGAGTTCTTCCATGGATATGAACCTGTGAGAACGTATGAATCGGGACATTATGAATATCAATGTGGACTCGGCTTTGATACTCTATCGTAAGTATGGGTTGAATAAAAAAAGGTATAGGTGATAACCATTAACCAAACAACCAAAATCAATTGATCTAATAATCAAAATTCAAAATTAGCTGATATCCCATCAGTCAAAATCAACTGATCTTAGAAACAACCAATATCATCTACCCTAAAAACTATCTAAATTAACAAATCTTACCGAGAACCTAAATCAACATACAACTGATCTTCACAACAATCAAAATCAACTGATCTAATAACCAATATTCTAGAATAACTGATCTTATTCCTAATAAGCAAAATCAACTGATCTTACCTACAGCCAAGATCATCTACCCTAAAAGACGACCAAAATTAACCAATCTTATCAAGGTACAACTGATCTTGCCAATAATCAAAATCAACCGATCTTACCTGAACCAATCAAATTAAACTAATCTTACTAACAACTATAATCCAGCAACCAAAATCATTTGATCTTACCAATAAGTCTAATGATTTCACTGTAGCAAAGTTTCACAGGCAATTAGAGCATGCAAGGCCCTTACTTGTACCTTGTGTGATCTATATCTTATTTGCAAGTGGCCATCCATTAATAGATTATATGATCAACAGGAAAAGAACTATCAATGAGAAAACCTATTAAAACTAATTGATATTTGGCACCATCGTCATCAATATGGGCTTTATGGATATCAACATGATCAATTTTATGACTATGGATTGGTTACATAATGAAAATATGAAATTCATCATGAATTTATTTCATGAGTCTTGTATTTCAAATCAAGTTTATTAAAGAAATCCATTGTTCTAATGATGAAGTGATATTTTACCTTGAAAACACTATCTGATTTTATGGCTGGTTGCCTTCCTTAATAGCAACCCAAAGCAAGATGAATGCAGATATCTGGTACGTTTTATAATAAAATGCATATAAAGGGTAATATATTTGAGAAACCACACAAGATTACGATTGTCGAATGATTGTGGTCAGGCATACCTATTAGAAAAGGGGTCATATCACATATCAGTGAAGTATGGATTAATCTTTCTCATTTCAAGTACATTATGAAATCAAATAGCAAGAGATTATCCAGGAATACAATATGTTTAACATTTTTTACCAAAACAGTGAATTCCCAAGCATTTTACATGCTATTTGCACCTGCTTAAAATAGAGTAATACAAAAAAATAAGCACTGAAAATCAATAATGTATATTAAACATGTATTTCTATTATTTCTACAATGGTAGGAATTACCCTTATTTTAAAACTTTCTGTCTTTGGGACAGGACATCTATTCATAATTTGCCAGTTTAAGATTAAAGCTGTTTTTTCTGTGGATTAACATATTCACTCATTGATCGAGTACTTTATCTATTTTCAAATCATATGTTTTCACATACTGTAAAATGGGTATTGTTAGCGAGGGGTAATTGTTAGCGATTGTTAGCGATCGCTATAGTTTCGCTAAAAATTCAACTCACTAAAATAAACCGGGGTTAAAATAAACCGGGCGCTAAAATTTGCAAATTCCCTGGAAACTACATGAATACTATTATTTAAGGAGCTTTTCGTTCAGTGCTCAACTTCCGGTTTGTAATTTGAAAAAGGTGAATATTTTTAAATCATATGTTTCTTTCAATATCTGAAGGATAAATAGCCATCCATCAGTGAAATAGTATTAGTAGTAAATATAAAGATAAAAGGTGTTAATTGAACACGGTTCAACAACCAATGATATTGCTTAAATTCTCCCGTACCATAAGTGAGCAAAGGATCACTTTCAAAATCAAAGTCTATAGAATCTATACACAGTGAATGTTCTGTCATGTCCGTTATTCATTCTTCTGCCATAAATGATAAAATTTCTAATGCATTTCGCTAATTTGATTTTTTAAAGATTAATCTTCATTTCGCTAAAATTTCCTGCGCTAAAACCCCCTAAAATTGAAAAATCGCTAAAATTTCCCGGTGTCAAAATTACCCGTTTTACAGTACGTTATTTTCAGTCATTTCAATCAACAATTACATTTTTGTGTGCTTTTCATTACATGTATAATTTCTTCTGATTTTCCATGAAGCATTACATTATGTTATCAACAAATTAAATATAGTTGATTAATCAAACATTATATCTGTTCTGACAGCCTAAAATATTTCCGAGAATCTTAATTGATAATGATTGATATAATCTTTCCATGAAATACATTAATCATGACAACATGATTCATCAATGTTGCATCAACCCATAAGCCCTTTTACAATCTAATACCATTTTACAAATTAAACAACAATGTGTTTCGCTCATATCATGGTTGACATCAGTAATGTCTTACGTCAGTGTCATTTTGTGTTACAGAGAAGCTCTTGGATGTGGAGATTCTCAATCCAATACCATGTAAAGATTTATGCCCCAAAACCTTTAAAAATCAAGTATTAACTTTTTGCCAATTTGAATTGTTCATCCATCAATAAATATGTTATTTAAAATTAAAAGAAATAAAAGAAACAAAAGAAGGATTTGATGTTAACCTTTTTCATTTTTAGCCATTGAATCTAATGAATTAATTAACCACTTACATGTAGCTGCCACTTTTGTTAGGTTATAATGTTAATCCTAGCCTCTCAACCTGTTTTAACAAAGTACAAAAATGAATTGAGCTAAGGTTGACACATCCTCTGATCACAGGGCTTCAAATCCAGAATATATTCTTTCTTTTTACCCCTGCGATAAGCAGTTACCATTTCCCCGATTAAGAACTCGCAATCTGATTGGCTGTCGCAACACTGCGACAGAAGTCATTGCGCATTCTTAGATCACGTGATTCAGTTAAATCGGCAGCTTCCAAATTGGTTATAGCAGGGGGAAGAAGGAGGTACAGATTCTGAACACCTGCCTAGGAGGATGAGGTTGACAAGAAACAATAATTGTCATTCATGTTACACAAAAATAAAATGTTTTTAAATGCATATTTTCCATTTCAGGTGTTCATTCCTGGCAGTCTTCCAAGTGGTCACCACTAGCAACTGGCATGAGATCATGAATGCTGCCATTGTCTCCACGTCGTACTGGGCGTCTCTCTACTTCGTCACTTGCTACCTCATCATTGACATGGTGGTTATGAGGTAAGAACTTTGTCTCATCTTTTACCAGATCGTCTGTCTGTTTCATCACTGTGTCTAACAGAAAAGTTTCCCTGTTGCAATGAAGATGATTCAATTAATACAAGCATGTGTATCAATTATAGAGGTCCTCAGTTGAATTCCAGTTTCCATTGCATCTTGTGGATGATTTTGCATGTAAAAATCCACTGTTTAGAAGGAGGCACTAGCTTGAAATGTTCATTATCTTGCCAGGTTTAAACAGTAACAATTTCTTCAATTTGAAAATGGAGACAATACAGTACAACTATTCTACCTTAAGTATGACTACATCTGAGTGAATACCAGTGTAAAACTCCAGGATAATTTATAGATCCCGAATTCTTCATAGTTTACTGTCTATTTCAGTTTGTTTGTGGCCATTACAATTGAGGCATTCAAACACATGATTACTGAAGAGGACACTGACGGTGATGCTGGGTTGGTGGATCCACTTGCAACTCAGGATGAAAATGATGAGGATACTGATAAACAGGTTGGTAGTGAATGTACGGAAGAGATTATAGTCCCCAAGAAATTGAGGTCCTACAGTGTATTTGGGGCTTACTGACTCTGATTGAGTTTAATGTCATATAAACCAATTTTAGAGAAAATTATACATTTGTTATTTGATAGGATCAAATTAATTTTTCTGGGGCATTTTCAAATATTTAACAATTTAACATCCAATCAGGAAGTGATTATTAAATTTCATTTCTACTCTCTATACCCTGAACCATTTTACTGGTAATAACCAGATGTCAAAATACTCTGATTTGGCTTGGCGGTACATGTATCTAAAGCAAAAGGTATTATGTGTACTCGCAAACTCAGTAGTTAATACAATGGTCTGAAACCTTAATTGCTCACAGCATAAAATGGTATTTAACAATTAGTTCAGTGTTTAGCAGCATTTTGTCTTTTGCTGCTACCAATAATTAAATAACAATACATGTACAATTGAATTTAATGTGCATACTTTTCAGAGAACCATTGTGAAGTCAGCGAAGCAACTGCTTGATGAAGTATTTGCACCTTCTAGGGTAAGTAAAAGTTCAATAACTGACCTTTACATGACTGGTGTCACATCAAAATAATATTTATGATCTCTATAGCTCAGACCCTGTTTCCGGCAGTCGTCATTTTTTTTCTCCCTCTGGAAGCCTGTTGACAGAGGTTATTGCTAGCACAGGTTACTTAAAGTTCATGACTACTAGCAAATCACAAATGATTTGCAGTAATCTGTCTAAATCAACTGTCAATCAAGTGACTAGAGAGTGTTCCATGAATCAAAAAGTGCAAAAATTGAGATTACAAAGAATTGTTGGCTGTAAGCTTATGAAAATTGCTCAATCCTCCATCCATCTACCTCTTCACCAATTCGTTCTTTTGTATGTCCTTTATCTTCATACAAACATCTGACAGCATGTGCATAAAATCTGGCACAGTGGGTCATAGAATTGAAGCATGGTCTCAGAGGGAGAAGTAATGACGACTGAGCACTCTAGAGGCAGAGTTACATTGATAATATTGATGTGTTCCTTAATTTGTTGCACTTATATGTTCTTATATGTTCTTCTATATCCTAAGTCTGTGTAACACTACCAGTTTAGTTTGATTAATACATGTATAAGTAGTGTTTTTCTCGCTTAAGAGCAAATTATAGATTTAATTGTAAAGAAGCACTTAGTTGAATTTTTATTCCGCTGCTAAATGTAATATTCTGTGTGTTATTTGTTTGTTTGTCTGTTTGTTTATGTTTGTGCGTTTGCTTACATCTAACAATAATTGCAGTATTTGTGTATAATGTTTTTGCTTAATCACTTGAAATATTTGATAATCTATGAAAATAGTCTAAAAGTAATCTTCAACAAAAGCATCAAAAATGATTGAGATTTACAAATTATCAATTTATTTCTTAATCTTCCTCAGACATGCAACAAGTTTACCTGAAGATTTTGATTGAACTCAATCATTTTTGGTATTTTAATACTAAATAACATTCTCCAACGAAAGCATAATAAACAGTATTTACCCCAAAATGAAGTTGAGGTTTTAAAAAAGTATTCTCTTTTTATGAACTTGTATTGGTCCCTATTATCTGAGCAATTTGAAGAAGTTTCATTTTCAATTTTTGACTCAAGACTATTTTCAATATTATTGAATACTTTAATGTTACAATGAAAGACGGGACTCATATAAATGGCAGATTGGTCATTCAGAATTTATTTTTCTGGATTTATTCTTCTAGATATATTCAGTAAAATTTATTTATTTATTTTCTGAGCAATTTTGATACGTTAAGGTAAACCAGCTGAATTTCTCGCCATCTATTGTCGTCTTTTAGGCCATTGCTAGTAGTTGACCTTATAATTATAGTCTATATTTGCATTCACACACTCCATCTATAGTCTGAAGCACACATTCCTGGCCGCAAGATTTCTCTAGCCATGGTCAACGAAAGGCGTAGATCTGTTGTTGCTATGCAACCAGTATCTTCCAATGGGTCACAGGTTTGGATTTATCTTATATGCATGTTTTTTAATTCATAGATATTTAACTCATGGCATGTTCTCATACAGTATAGGTTAACAATGCATATCAGCATGTTTTTAACTCATTAGGGATATTGAACTCACTTAACTTTAATTAATACTTAATATATATGTATTTAATAATGTGCTATATTTAACACATACATGGAATTATAATTTCACTCGCATGAAAAAATGAAATTGTCCATGACATTTACATTGCTTTTCCATGATTTCATAAATGATTTCACAATCGATGGAAAACATGGTTTTCATGTTTTTTTCATTAAATACTGGTAATTTCCCTGGAATAGCACAAAAACCACAGAGACTTTGGATTAGATAGAGTTTTTAAGTGTGAGTGCTAGACAAGGGTCTCATTGCTGAAGATTAAGAGTATGGGGAAAATATGGAGAAACCACCTAAAAGTCTTTTCAACAAGGTTTCTTCCACATACCTTCTTACAAAATTTGCTCAAACCTCATTTTAACTACTTGGTGTCCTAATTTGATTTTTATGTCACCACCAAAAAGTGGTGACATATTGTTATGGTCTCCATTTTTTGTGATGGCGATTGGCGGATGGTGCTTGGCGGTTGGTGGTTGGCGATCGACATATGTAACAATTTCTTACAACTTCCAGCAACTTGACAAATACTGTTTAGACTGACTTAATTTTTTTTCAAAATCATCTACAAGTTTTTAGAAGTTCAAATCTGACTCTAGAATTAAGATTTGACATTCGATGACCTTTTCAAGGTCAAAAAAGATTTAAAAAGGATTCAAAATCATCTATAAGTTCTCAAAAGTTCAAATCTGAATATAGACTTGACCTCCAATGACCTTCTCAAGGTCAAAAAGGTCTTTTTTCAACTTGCTTCAAATTGACCAATATTTTTTTCAAAAAAATCTTCAAGTTTTCAGAAGATTTCACCTTCAAAGACCTTCTCAGGGTCTAAATGTTTGTGAGTACTTTAAATTTAAAAAATAAGCAATCAAATGACCACACTGAAACAGTTTATGTAAAAATAGAAACATTTTTATTTATCCCAACTTTTGTATATTTTAGTTTGTTTTTTACTTTAGCTATCATATCTGTGTCCTCTTATATTTTGATACTTCTCTGCCATGTTATTTTCGGAAAAATTAACATGGCTGAAACTTCCTAAATTATAAAAAGCCACAGCTTTGCTGCACATTATACATTACTATCTGAAATATACAAAAGTTGGGATAAATATAAATGTTTCTATTTTTACATAAACTGTTTCAATATGGTCATTTGATTGCTTATTTTTTAAATTCAAAGTACTCACAAACATTTCTGTTTTGACTGTAGGTGGTGACATTTTGTCATGTTAATACCTTGTTTTTTCTTGCAACTATCTTTCTAAATGATCCATGCATAACAATGCCTATCACCCTTCAACATACATGTACCCCTATCAGCATGTTGTATAAGGTACTGTATTACTTTCATTATATATAAGATTATAGCCATATTTTATTTTGCATGTTGCATGTATTAATATTAAAGCTTACATTATAAACATGATCATATTTTAATATTTTGTATTTCAACTGTTTTATAAATATGTACACATTATGAGTGATATTGCCAGAGGCTGAAATATCTAACACGATACAAGATACCTCACCTGAACTTTTGATAAAAATCATTCTCCTTTGTCTAATGACAGACCTATTAAGACTTGCTTTACTCATTTGATTCCACTCTGTGTAATGATTTAATTCAGTTGTACGAGGGTTGTCCCAGAAGTAATGCACTATATGCTTTAACTTTATCAATAATTGATATTGTGTTTGTTACCAAAATTTTATTATACATGATTTTTTCTGTATTTGCATCAATTGCTTTGTTACATTTTAGAATCCATCAGGGAGTTTGACTAATCTGAATTCTCCATCTCTCAACAAACATCATTCTAAAGTTCAACAACAAATACCATCTTCCGATACTGTGAGTATATGTACATGTGTTTTACTATTATCAAATAAATCAAGATACAGTTAAACATGTGGGAGTGGAATGACTTTCGTACCTCAAGTAGTAAATGTTAAGGTTCAAATTGTATTCTATTCAAATTATATCACTGTTAAACTATATATCTGCTTTAAATGGGCTTATTAGCCTTTTGCGGATTATTGATGAAGATGTAGTGTTAAGTTTACAAGTTTAATTTAATTATATGGGTAACTGGAGTTGGAAATGTGTTCCTCTAATGAAACAAGGTGTTAAGGTGTTCCAATTCAAAAGGTTTTCCACTTTCATGGTTTTACTGTATATTCATTCAAGTTCTTAAAGTTCATGTCATTCCTTCTTTATCTATACCAGTAACCTTGAAGTTCTCTTCTTGAGATCAAACTACATGTGAAACCCATAATTAGTTATATTGGCCAGATGACAATTGACATCATGAATCTGGGAAGGAGAGTGGATGTGTGGGTTAGCTTGTTGTTAATGTTGGTTAGCCTCTAAACTTGATGCAACAACTGTCATCATCCTCTTTCTCCCATTTTGTACAGGAGGAAGATTACACTGGGCTGACTGCACATGAACGCAAACAGAGAATCCTAAAAAAGAAAATGAAGAAGAGAAAGCGTCAAACTGGGGTGAAAATCAAGGTGATATCAGCATTTAGGAAAACTAAAGACTCTGAAATAGATCTTCATGTTGGAGATGAAGTGAAGTTGATAGAAAAACAGGGCAGGATGTGGAAAGGAACAACTAGAGACAAAACAGGGTGGTTTCCAGGTAAAAATTGTAAAAAATGAAATTGTATTCATTAAACAGTTGCTCTTCATTATTGGAGATAATGATTTTAAAAGATTGCCAATGACTATGAAACTAAGAGTTATACAATAGGTCTTTCGTTAGATCTCTAAATTAAATCATCTGTCGTACAGTAGAAATAAAAATAGCAATGTATGCATAAATGATAGCAGGGACTTAAAGAGTCAATGATAGCTTACTTGAATTGTATTTAAATATTTTGCAGCATCTAATGTCATTGAAATAGTGCGTGGAGCCAACAAGTCTCGCCAGAAGGCAGTGGAAGTCACCCCTGAACCCACAGGTCATAGTATCATTGAGTCCAGTCCACCCAAACCTGCTTGGAGCAGTCTACCTGTGCAACCAAAAATACCACTAAATGATAATCTCAATGTAAATATTGATTACCTTCGCGAAAAATACTTAATCTAATGGGTTTGGTTACATGTATAATTACACATTGTATAATACTGTAATTATAACATTACACTGGATGAAACAAAATACTAGTTGTATATACTGTACAATATGAGGTTATATAATGGTTCTTTCTGTATATCGTTTTTATACTCGAGTGAGTATATGATATATTCACAAGTGAGCGTAGCGAACGAGTGAATATATTATATTCTCACGAGAGTATAAAATGCACGATATACAGAATGAACCATTGTATAATCTTATTATGCCACTCTAAGTTCAATTACAGTTGATTCGAACACAATCATAACAATTAAAAACCATAAAAATATCCCATAGCCAACTCAATAATGCTGATGTTGATCTCGAACCATTTATGACGTCACTTGATTCTAGGAAATCATGAAAATTTTCATGATTTTTTTATTCATTAGTTCCCAGAATGCACTTCTACAGTGGTATACGCTGGAGCGTATACGGAGGAGTTGTATACTATGATGATATACCACTGTCCACTGTATATCGTTGTTAAAGACCCATGTTATGCAACTGTAATTGGACTTAGAGTGGTATAATGTAGATTATTACTGGGAACTATTTAGAGGTTACGTCACTATCGTGGCATATATGCCCGAGGTCTAAGTGATATATGGCCCGACCTTGGGAGGGACATTGCTCTCTGAGAACCGAGGGCATAATGTGCCACGATAGTGACATAAACGATTTATAACATACCTATGATGATGTAGACTGGTCAGAGAGTACTGTTTTCTTATAGAATTGACAAACAAATGGTTTGAAAATGATTGAAATGAGTTTAGAAAAATTGCTCGCACAGTTTTATCTTCGATTGATTGGTTATGACGTCAGCGCCTTGACCAATCAGAAAGTTAGCGGGCGCGGGCTTTTCAAAACTTATATTGGCCCGCTGTCTTGTGAACACTTTGCACTATACATCATCATAGGTATGTTATAATATTGCATATTTTACATGTCTTTTAGATTCAGTCAGAGGTTCCTATGAAGGCAGAGAGTGCATTGGCCCCACAGGGGCTTAGTGCCCCAAATAGGGGGCTATACAGACAATCAACTAACATCAACATGTCCAAGAGAAATGCGGTAAATGTTTAATCACAATTTGTTAAGTGCTATGCTATTGTTGCCTTGTGTGGGGACAACATTGGTGTGTGGGAGGGCACACATAGATAAATCTATTGGCATCATATTCCAGGAAAATCTATTCAATTTGAATTTTGCCCGTGAAAGAGCAGAATATTGCTAAGATCTAGGTAGGTTTTGGGCACGTTGAATAAATTATATGATGGTCATTTTGCCCCTTAAAGTGCCATAGCTATTACTGTGTGTCTTATTAAATAATTTGACCAAGTCATATAATATAACAGAAAAAACTGTTCCAAGTGGAAAACCTCTACCATAGGAACACCTCTATCATAGGAACACATCATAGGAACACCTCTCAAGTGAAACTAAAAATCCTACCATCCATTGTCTTCCTGTGAATGAACCGTTCTTAATAAGGACTCTTGTGGCCCCAAGTGTGTTCAATAACAACAGTTTTTACCGTCAACACATTTTTGGTGTGTCGCAAGGATTTCAGATTTATGGGTCAAAATTAAATAACGGACAAGTTGTTCAGCTTTCTATGACAGCAGTTCACCTGATCCATAGTCAATTTCACTTGACAGTTCTCCAGACACTGCTTTTGCTAAAACCATAGATACCAACTGCAGTACATAATGTATCCTTTTACACATTACAAAGCTATTTGCATACCCAAAGAAATTCTTCAGAAAACATTTTCACGAAGAAAAGTAAATTTTGCTTTAGAATTTTTCTATATTATATATACAAAAATGCGTTAACTATTTATATCCTTCTAGATTAAAGGTAACCATGGAGACTGGAGACGTAAAATATTAGGAGACATGACGGTCATGAACCAAGAAGAGGTAAGTTGATTTAGAATATCCTAATTCATATCACAATTAGTAAAATATCCAAGGGGAAGAGATGATGATTATAACTCCATTTGTAACTGATATCTGAAATTGTAATTATCTTTTCATCACACCTGAAAAAGTCTATGGCTGTCTTGTGCTAATGGGTATATGAGATATCTTTTGAGAAATGTTGTCGCTTGACAGCAATAATAGTGTTAATTTGTTTGACTTAAGTTTTGGGCATTTTAGTAATAAACAAACCAACCATTTGCTCTTACTTAAAGTGCAATATTTATCTCAGTTTGTCTTGTCAATATTACAAAAATGGAATTTGATGTATAGGTTTATCCCCAGTCCAACAAGTGGTTACATTTTATTTTACATTTGCACAAGTAATACTTATTTTTGAATTAATATTTTTAAACAAAGATAAATGGAAAACTGTATGTAAATGCATTTACTTTAAATGGGTCATTTTATCATATCATTGTTTTTTTATTGTACCTAAAAAAGTACTTATTGTCAACAGCTGAGCAAGAGGTTAGCTAGATGTCCTCTCAATTTTCTTGCCTGTGTACTTCAATACAAAATGCTCCATTAACTTAATTGAGATTTTCAGGGTTGTTCAAAGTATTGTTTCATTATAATATTTAGGAACCCTAATTTGATCACTGTGTGATCGTTATTGACAATAGGTACGTCATGTATCATACTTCCATAGCAGGAGATCAAAAAAAATAAAAAATGAGAGCTTTCGGTATAATGACCTCTACATGTATGCATTGTTTTACAGATGCTTGAGCTGAATAGAATAGTGAGAGCAGAAATGAAGGAAAGCAAGAAAGGAGGAGGTGCTTTAGCCAGGAGATTAAACCCTAAACTAGTCAAGTAAGATATGTTCTAATATAGATCATGGAGGTTAAGTAAGCCATTCTGTATAGGTGATTATTGCTGGATATCTTGAGAAGCCATTTGTTGGACAGTTACCTAACTTACCTACATGGACAACATTGTCTCCAAGTACTCTGTACTCTATATCATATCTCCTACATTCATGTACTAAGTTGATCACTAATCATCAATTACTTGTTATTTATATAGTATGGGTCTGTTCATTACAAACATTACAATGATTTACTTGAAAATACATCGTATAGATGTCAGTCATAAATACAAAAGAAGTTGAAGACACTGAAAAAAGGGTTTTGCTCTAATTGAGGAATGGCTGAAAATCAAGCTCTGTTTTGGTCAATTTTTTAAATTATATTTTCAGTTTGGTAGATGAGATCAAAGAAGAACAAGAAGAACAGGCTGCACCTACAGTTCATGTGCCACAGGTAATATACCAATGGAGGAAATAGGGATATAGTGAAGCCCTACGTCTGTCTGTCAGTCTGTCTGTCCATCTGTCTGGAAGATAACTTGAATACTAGAATAGTATATGGATTTTCTTCATATTTAGTGGAAAGATTAATTTTTGATGAATAGTTTTAGGCAAAATCTTTTTTCCAAAATGGCTGCTGCTTTAAAAATGGCAGGGATCATTTTCAAGCCTTCTGTTTTAATTTTTAAAGAATGACTTTAGGATGGGGTTATTATTTGTAACTGAACCATTTAGTTGCCAATCTCACTTCAAATACTGCTTTGTAACAAATATATTCTTTTTTTAGATTAATGTTGAAACTGCAGAGAGTCAAGAAGACCAAACAGATAATCAGAAACATGAAGTTGAAGATTCAGGTACAGAGTTCACAACAACTGTATAACCATATTCACATTCAGTCAATTGCCCATTAGACAACCAGTTTTTCCATGTCCATTGCCAAAAGTGAAAAGTGATTTCCCAATTTAACATATTGGCATTCCATCCATTGCCCAATAGACAACCAGTTTTTCTATCTCCATTGACGAGATTAAAAAGAGATTTGCATTTGCAGTCAGGCAGCTACATGTATGAGTTTCGATCCCTGATAATGTAAAAGCATGTTTCACCTGTTTGATTTTCAAATTTTTGAGCAAATAAAATGTAGGCTTTGAGCAACCAGCCTACATGTATGATACAATACAGATGTACACATTGCTTGTAAAACAATTCAAAGTATGAAAATTTCTTTCACCAGGATCATATTTAGGAGTCCAGACTCCAAAGCTGCCAAAGTCAAAGAAGAAGAAAGAAACAAATGGGGAAATGCCTGACTGGGCCAAACGTTTCCTGACCTCTCATGACTTGGAGGCTAAAGAAGGAAAGCAGGAAAACACCATACCTGATGCTTCCACCAGCGAGTAAGAATCTGTTAATTATTACATTGAACACAAGTCTGTCCCTTTGGGCAAGAATTCAAATATAGTTGATATTGTGTACACATCTGCTTTATTAGAAAGCAAGTTCTGCTCAAAAGTCATTTTCCAAAATTGCCACTGGTTTCAAATTGTGGCCATTTTAATGTCAATACACTGTATATGTAGTTAAGTATAATTTTCTATTTTATGATGCATGTAGTACCATCATTATTACATAGTTGGAAGCATGACACATTGTTTTTTGACACTTTGCTTAATAAGTCATCCATTTTGAAAATTGATGCCATTTTTATATAAATATGTTTTATATTTAGAGATGACTGGCAGTGTAAGGTTTTTTGATATTTTCTATATAGTACCATCATCATTATTACATACTTGGAAGCATGACACATATATACTGTACATATATCTATATAAATATGTTTTATATTTCAGAGATGACTTGACAGAGTTGGCTAGAAAGGATGATGATTCGGGGTCTATGGATGTAAATTTGAATTCTGATACCAACGTTAGTACTCTCACCATGCCAGATAGCACCAGAGAAAGCATAAGGTAGCTAACACCTCATATAGTAAATCTTGTGAAAGTAGAACACCTTTTCTAGCCCTCCTTGACTCATTACACAAACGTGATATAAAAGTCTGTAATACCTCCCTAGTCGAACACCTTTGTATGTACCAAAGGTGTACTGTTCCACTTACACCAGTCAAACTGTATTATGTGACAGCTTTCACATAGATGGTGCTCTAAATTTTCAAGGTTTCTGGTTTCTGCAGTTATATCTCTGCAAGCTTTGAAAATGAGTGATACCTTTGCTTTTCATTCATTATTGCTATGAGTTTTTTACTATCTGTAGTACATAGTACAGTCATTTGATACTTTCTCCCATTATCAGAAGTATTTCTATTTCAGGTCAACACGTGAAGAAAGAGAAAACAAAGATAGCAAAACTAAAAGGTAGTTTTAGTTTTGACAATTACTAGTAGTATATTCAATACAGACACCAAGGTTCTGCGATCTGACCTCGAACGATTTGAGAACGTGATAGGGTCGCGTAGGCGAGACAAGCGTGGTAATATCTCCATTATCCATGAATGAAGTACACACGCATTACACACGTGGCAACTACGCTGCGAAAATTGTAACATTTGCGCGGCTCTTTTCAACGCACAACTGTAAAGAATGACACATTGATCATCTTGAAACTTCCAAAAACTTGACCAGCTTTTATAGTCCCCTAGATCACGTGGTAGAGAAACATCGAGGTCGTACGTGTTTAGAGCGCCACAGGTTCGCTGATGATCGCAGTTGCCGAGCCAATAGATGTGGATATAAACGCCACATTCATATTTATTGAATCGCTTTGGTAAAATAGTGAAAATAATACTATAGTAGTATTCAAAGATCATTTATAATTATTTTTCCAGATCCCGTGCCTTGTTAAACAAATTGAAGAGATGATTGTGAACCTGGGGGTAGATCAAGCACAGTGCAACAAAACGTGGGGTTGAAGAATTTCCATATGATAAAACGAGTTGCCAAAATTTCATTTGATTAAATGTAAAGAGGATGTGACATTACACCTCCAGGCATTAAATTAAAACTCTGGACAATTTAATGATCACCCATGATAAAACACAAATCATAAATATGGAATTATTGTAATTGTAGCCAAATAGAGTCTGTTCAGGTGCATGCAAAAATCTGAAATTGTCAGATTACTTGCTTCCTATGCTATGATTTCTACGAACATTTGTATTGTTTTTTGGAAACAAAAGCGTTGTAAATTTATTGTAAATATATGGCCTATATTTAAATTACAACTTTTAATATACTTCCTGTATCTTATGAATGAATATTTTGTTCAAAACTGAATGCAATTATAAACAAAATACTCATCGACTGATGTGAAAGAAATTATGGTCCCCCGGTGATTATGGTCTTCCGGGGATTATGTAATAAGGGAAATAGGTCACCATATAAATCAATGGAGAGTAGGACCATAAATTAATAGGACCTCCTACCCTTTTACACCGGCAGCCAGTAGTTGCATTCGCGAATGCTAGCTTAGATGCATTTTCTAGTCTGTAGCTATGGAAATCACCAAGATAAGCAGTAAATGAGCTACGATTCGCGAATGCAACTTCCGGCTGCCGGACTGACATCTATTATTTGCATGAATTAAACCCGTCATTTTGAAGTTGAAATGACGAAAAACCCGTGTGTCAACGAACAGTGATCGCATGACTTTTACGCCACCTTAACGATCAATATTTTGAAGTCATGGCCAGTAAGTCAATGTTAGTACCTGCTTTTAGGCAGGTTTACTCGTTATTTAGGTCGGCGTCAGGTTTGACTCAATAGCTTGCAGCTACCGCGATACATGGCATCGGTACTATCAATTATATCTAAATGAGTTGTCCATCAAATTGTAATCATGATACATGGTTAACGTCATATCCCTTCCACTGGCGGAACTGGGCCAGCCCCCCCCCCCCCCCTGGGTGGGCCCATAAAAAATGGGCCTTTTTGGTCATTTCTGGGCCTTTTAAGGCCCCTGCCTTCACATTTTAATGGATGTCCAGGATAGAAGCTTTAAAATTGTGATCTTATATTATAATAGTAAAAGAAGTTCCCAATCCCTTTCTTTGTTTGTCTTTTGGTGTTTTTATTATTTATATTGAACAATATTAATTCCGAATAGTTATTAATAAAAAAGGATTTGTTCTTTAATTTGCTTTTTCACCTTCAACCTTTCGTTATTTGCCCTTCTATACATTACAAAGCGTTGTGCTTTTAATTAACATATGACACTCATTAGATATTAAACATAGCTTTGGCTAGAGATTGCATCTCGTTTATTAAGAACATTGTCTATTGAATTACATCATATAATTTTCCAGTAGTGTAAATTTACGCATAATTTATGAAGATCTTTGATTTAGATTACTAGTACAGAAAATCGTAATGACTGATACTTAATGATATGTTGAAAAAACTTTCGATTGATTGAATGCATTAATTTTCACCATTAAAACCTCTATGTGAGGAGCCAGAAGAAGTGAGAAGCTCCCATAATACTATCATATTCTTTCGTATTCGGGGATTCCCCTTAGCCATCCTATATGGTCATGCAAACCTTATATGGATCTATCACATGATATTCAAAATGGCGGACAACGAACAGTTGGATTCCTATATGGTCATGTAAGCCTTATATGGATCTATCACTTGAATACCACGTGATCGAATACGAAGGCTGAACTTTGGGTGATCCCCCTGAGGAGCCTCGAAATGTGGCCTGAAAAGGTATGAACTAATGCATGGAACCTATCGAACGTTGAACATTTTTAACCTTTAATGACGTTTAAGAATAAAATTTCATCTGGACGTTAACTTTAAAGAGAGAATCAGATATAGCGAGCAGCCTAACAAAAATTGTTTCAATTTTAGAACTTTTCTGGCATATATCATTCCCGGGATATCATTCCTTTTCATGTCTATTTTCTAAAAAAAACCTTAACTGCACACTTTATAAAGTATTATTTTTCTATAAGAATGTGGTTACCATTCTTTTTATTTGGGAGAATTTAAACATTGTTCACCCATTTTTGCACTTTTAATCCATTATAACTTCACCAATTTATAATATACCGAAGATCTCTTGGGAGATATTTTATTTGAGATTGAAAGAATAGATTAGTAGGTCAATTGTACATGTTGCTTGTAATTTTGTGACCCCCATAGATCTGATTCTGCCTTTAAACATATTACACTTATTTTTGAATTGCCTTATCCCAAAAATGCTGAGTGGCAAATGAGTAGCACAATGTCGGAATTGGCCACGTGTAAATGAGCACACGGAACACTGTATTGGCCAATTAACGCGTAGCACCATAGCGTTTTAGCCAATGAATGGAGAGTAATGGAAACTCACCATTCACGTTAAAATAAATGCAGTTTATTCTCGTGTTCATTGAGACGCTGGGTCCAGGGGAACAAGATGGCTCGTACGAAGCAAACTGCGAGGAAGTCAACCGGAGGAAAAGCCCCTCGAAAGCAACTGGCTACCAAGGCTGCGAGGAAGAGTGCACCGGCAACTGGTGGAGTCAAGAAACCACATCGTTATAGACCAGGTAAACCCCAGAAATAGTTTCTTAGTCTTTAGTTCGACATGTTCACATGCTCGTTGTTGAATGGAAATTGACTGTAGAATGTATCCTATAGTTTTGAAACTTTTTAAAAATTGGCTGAAATGACTTCTGGTTAGTCTATCTAGGTCCCTTGAAAATGCTCTCGTTTTTAACATGGGAAATCCTAACTTCAGCAAATCCAGGTGTCCTTTATTTATGGTGAGTACTGTAGTTTAGCTATCATATATTTAGCCTCTTACTAGTATATTTTGATGCTTCTCTGCCATGGCTAAAACTCCCAAAATTACAAAAGGCCACAGCTTTGCTTCACATTATACCCAACATATACAAAATTTAGGTTTTGTACATATGTTCTCCCTTTTTATGTGACAATTGTGATCGTCTCCGTTTTTTGACGTCGGTTGGTGATTAGCGGTTGGTGGCTGGTTGGCGTCTGTAACAACTTCTTACAATTTAAGGTGCTATGGAAGTTAACAGGAAATGACAAAACAGGAAGTGACAATTTTTTTGCATTTTTAGACATTTTTTGAACAAAGATAACAGAGTTGTGTTTTGACCTCCAGTCGATTCAACTGGTTCCAAATACCATTTACAGGTCCAGGATCACAATGTTTAGGGTCAGAATGACCCTAAACATGATGAAATAACCTTTTTAGCCCACTTCCTGTTTTGTCATTTCCTGTTAAGTTCCATAGCACCTTAAGACCATTTTCTTTTCAAAATCATATGGAAAGTTCTCAAAAGTTCAAATCCGACTATAGATTTGACTTTCAATGGCATTCTCAAGGTCAAAAAAGATTTGATCTTCAATGACCTTCTCAAAGTCAAAAAGGTCTTTTTTAATCTTGCTTTAAATTGACCAATTTTTTCAAAATCATCTAAAAGTTCTCAGAAGTTCAAATCTGACTAAGATTGAATTCATAATATTATGAGCAATTAGGTGGTGACATTTGGTCATGTTAATGTCTTGTCATACATCTAGAATGATGGTTCAACACACAAATGGGAAAAAGTTACAGGCAATTCAAAATTTTAGTCAGTCAGTCAGTCAGTTTTACACCAAAATAATAGTCGTCATGTTAACGGCAGCTATGCTTTCCATATATGACCTTAAACGTGCTTACAATATAGGGATTTGCCATTTTGTAATCCTCATAAAACCTTTTAAGGCATTCTAGAAGAGTTTTCTTGGAGTATCTACCCTCAATTTCCTCTTTTTAAAACTCTGTATCCATCTTTTTGTCGACAATAGCACCCATACTTTCGGTCACATTCAGGTCAGGGCTGTTTCCAGGATACTGGAATGAACTATATTTTTGGCCAAACACTAACTTTTGAAATGCCTATAACTTTTTACCATTTGTGAGTTGAACCATGATACTTGGCAAATCAATGTAAGTTTTGATAGCTTTAAAATGATATATGCCACATACTATACAGACATTGGTATATGTCCGCCTAGGGGGCCCCCATACTTTCGGGACACCATGAAGAAAGAGTTTTCAATGGAGAAAAGATTGCTATGCTTGCTTAGCATCAACAACTTCTTAATTAAGAGATATCTTATTTTCCCGCGGAGGTATGCTCCAACGCAAAATCACTCAAAATTCATCAATTCGTCATATCAGTTCATCAAAGACAAGATTATTGAAGAAAAATGGATAGACATGACATATTATTTATATGTGTGAAAGCAATCCAAAGATAACTCAAATAATGGCTATTCAGAAAATTGTATTTTTGAACATTTATTAATTCACAGAGAGCATGCCTGGACGGAAAATGTGATTGCTGTATATCTGAAAATCGTTGATGCAAGTACAACAATCTTTGTACCATTGAACACTTTATCTACACATAAAATAGATTCCTCAATTCTTGAGTTATTTCAAAACTTAGTGGGTGTCATTTTTGGGTCACCCTGTACAATTGTACATTTCAGTCACCTCAACTCCTTGCTTATATGATATGGTTTATTATTTTTGCACGAGGAGTACCTAGATAATTAGAATTAGGTTACTTTATTGTAATTACGATCATTATTTAGAATATATAGAACACTCCGAAATCTGGCGAATTTTTACATGAAAGAATGAATAGGTCGTTGGATTTTCTTTCTTTTGCACATTTATAAAACCCTGCTCCTTCACTCTAATACTCGCCCAGACTTTTATTCAAATGAATTAACTAATGCATAATTTTTTTTTATCAAAGTTTCTATTTTTCAGGAACTGTCGCTCTTAGGGAGATCAGGCGCTATCAGAAATCAACTGAACTGCTCATCCGCAAACTGCCTTTCCAGAGACTCGTCAGAGAAATTGCACAAGATTTCAAGACCGATCTAAGATTTCAGAGTTCAGCCGTGGCAGCGCTTCAAGAGGCAGCGGAGGCTTATTTAGTGGGACTTTTTGAAGATACGAACCTTTGTGCCATCCATGCAAAACGTGTCACCATTATGCCTAAGGATATTCAGTTGGCCAGGAGGATTCGTGGCGAGCGAGCCTAATCAGAGGCCAAGATACGGTGGTGTACTGTATATAGTCGATGCCATCCAATGATATTTCTCCTGCCTTTGTGGACGAACCCGTAACGAGTTTACATCATCCTCGCCAGTGACTGATTACATGAACGTGAGCGCGTCTAGCACAAACGTACGTGATGGATCAGTGCCCAACAAAAACGTTTCAAATCAAAACTGTATATAGTTCAAAATATTTATCGAATTGTTTCAGAGTATCATTCACGTAGTGTAATAGTCATTTCAAATTATATTTTGTGCTACACAAACCAGACGGTGGGAGGGGATCGCCAAATACGTTAACTTCACGAAAAATTATCGAACGTTCCATAGTTGATTGTGTTATTTGGTATTTTGCGTTTTCCTCTTAGCATTTACTTTTTATTTTGTTCTAAACTTACACTACTGAAGAGCTTTTGAATATTTGTGATATTTAAAACAAGAAAACTAAGTTTTTAACAACGCATTCAATTTTATTGAAAATCATGATGTTGATTGACAGGATGTCTATAATATATTCATAGTTGTACACAATATTATCAAAGTTTTAATCTGTAATTCTGTGTTTCTGTTGTGTTAATAAATTGTGGCTAAGTTTTTCAAACCTAATTGATTCTTTAATGTCTTTTTGAGGGTAAAACTGGATGAATAACCTGAGGCCAAGTAATACGTTATAAATGTTTAAAAATCCCCACGATTTACTTAATGGCCTTCGGGACTAAATTGGCATAAAATTCAGTGGGTTTAATAGCATACTTTAACATGCAAAGTCGAAGTTGCTCCAAAAATCTCCCAAAATGAATTTTATTGAAAAATCCAAATTTATTTGATATGTTGTAAATTTAAAGTTTAAAACCGCAATATTTACACGCTAACCAGTGGGCCAGATGTGAAGAACAACTTGGTAGTTAACTGCCATCTATACGAATCCTGGCTCCCATTAAGTTGCTAACGCGTGATAAAAAAGGAGGGAATCTGGTTGCCAAACATATGGAGGGGAGTCAGGCCAGTAGCAGGGGGGCTTCGCAGGGTTCGGGCGAACCCCACCGGCCAAAAATTATCTTAAAGGCATGCAGTTTGTCGCCATTTTGAGCATTTAAGTGATTTTAGTCATATTTGGGCCAAAATTGTCATTCATGTACAGCAACAATGCGAAACTGTGCAGGTGGACAATTGCCAAAAACACTGAAAATCATGTAACCAATACGCCGAAATACAGATGCCAAAAAAAGAACTAGGGAGTGTTTAACTTGCGAGCTAGAACGGAGTGCTGATGCCTACTAGACACGATCTCTCGGACTCAGTGGGATGATTTAACGGTTGTAAAGGTATCTTGGTAATGCCTTGGTCACATAGGCTCCGATTTTCACTACGGCGCCCGGCCGATTGAGTATTTTGTTCAAAATTGAATACAATATTGAACAAAACACTCAATCGCCCGGGCGCCGGCCGATAGATCGGAGCATATGTGACCCAGGCATTACGTGTGTCTGCACGGCGACCATAGCTTTACAAAATCAATGCAGAAAGTCTACATCGTTTTGCTTATCGCTATATTTTTGTTGCATATTTCTCTCGTTTTTGAGACCGACTACCGCCGTACGGTTGATGTAGATCAAATTGGACAGAGACATTAGAGAAAAATAGAACATTTTGCATATGACGCCTAGTAAGCTCCTTGTTTTCCAATGACTGACTGACTGCATTCTTACTGTTACATTGCTCATTACATTTGGGAATGTTTCCAGTGGAATATTCTGAATTTCTCTTCGAATGTTGGCCTTCAGTTGATCTAGGTTTCTTGGCTTAGGATTGGCATAGGTACGATCCTTTAAATAGCCCCAGAGAAAGAAGTCTGGAGGCGTCAAATTTGGTGAATAGAGAGGCCATTCAATGTCTTCATACAGCGAGATCAGACGTCCAGGAAAATATCTTTGTAGGAATTCTCGTGTGGCACTTGCTGCGTGTGGAGGGGCTCCATCTTGCTGAAACCACACTGTTCTCATTCTGATGTCATTTGGTCTCCGAGCTAGCCTACGTAACTCTCGGAGGTAGAACTCCTGAATCATTTTGACGGTAATTGATCTAGTTCACTGTGGTTGTTTTGCCATCTTCATCCTCGAAAAAGTATGGTCCAATAATACCGTTCCAGCCAATTGCAACCCACATTGTCACCTTGAGCAAAGATCTAGGACCTTCATCAATCAGTACATTGCCTGGGTTCTCTGCCCCCCCCCCCCCCAGTATATTATGCGAGTTCACTTTCCCTGAGAGATGAGCATGGCATTCATCGGTCATGTGAAGTTTCCTGAGAAACAAATAGTCCGTCTCTAGTTTTTTAGAAAACCATCTGGCAAATTCTAGTCTCCTTGCCTTTTGCTGGGGTGTTAGTTCGCTTTGAGACTGAATTTTGTATGGAAAGAGATGCAAGTCTGCCCTTAGGATGCGTTGCACAGAACTACGATGAATGTTAGTTTCTACAGAGATACGGCGAATGTATTTCTTCGGACTTTGTGCAACGGACTCTCTCACAGCATCTACATGTTCCACTGAACGGCCACTTCTTCTTCTTCCACTATGTCCTTTGTTCAAATTACACACAGGTGGAAAACTTAACAACAGTTCTGCAAATTGTTTTCGATTTGGTGCATCAAAAGTGTTGAAATATTCACAATACATACGCTGGACCTGGACCACTGAATTTGTTTGGTGCCAAAACTGAACAATTTTTGTTCTCTGAACTAATGTCAACTGCAGCATTTTTCTTGAACTTTAATGCTTTGCAGAACAAAGGATGAGTCTGGGAATGAGTCTGGGTATCGACCTAGAAAATATTGAAAATTGTAATGTCTGAAAAACCAACTCAATCACACATATTATTAAACTTCAATATCTTACCCTTCTTCTGAGATTACAAAAATATCAATTTGAATCACAATTGATGAAGAATATTGGCATCAAAGACAGTGCATATCACTTTGTCAGAATTGAAAGAAAATCAATGGCAAATATTAAATGAATTAATTATGCAAAAAGTTTGAAACATATCTTCCAAAACATTGGTTACTTTCTTTGTATAGACATTGAATGGTATTTCTGGATAAGTGAATTGGTGTTTATCTGGATAATCAAGGGATTATAGTCACTCAAAATTACTGAGCATCCAGTTTTGACACTTCAATTGTGTTGGTGAAATTATACATATTTCAGTCAAATTCATGCATACATTTTGGTTTCAATTTTATAATCTCTATACATGACCCTGGTGATGAAGAGTCAGAATCAGTCAAAAAACCTAAACCGGAAAACTGTGCTCATTGTGAAAACTAAAAGTAAAGCAACTTTTTTTCTGATATTTCTTACGTCAAATGGCAACCATCTTGTTTTTCCCCCTTCAAATTAAACTGGCGGGAAATTCAAAAATTTGAAAAAATTGTAATCCTTAAATATATTTCAAAAATATGATTTTCTCTTTAATTCTTCATGGGTCTTAAGTTATTTCTTCGTTGTATGTCATACATGTTGCCATTGGAGTTTTTTCTATGATAAGGACTATTTTTGTTGTTGTTAAGATACTTATTCTGACTCTCAGCAGGGGGTTAATTATGCATCAAAACTCGTGAAAAAGTAAATATACTTATCAAATATAACTATGACAGTAATAAAAACCATATTTCACATACATTTGACTGAGGGACCAAAAGGGCATATACCCGGACACATCCATAGAGTTCCTGGAATGAGAAAAACACCTTGATTTCCAAATAAAACAATTTCTTGGTATTCATATTTCAGATTACTTTTGGGTACATTTTTTTGAGACACCCTATATTTTATGGCCAACTCATTTTGACATGTATGGAATGTTGGTACGTGTGGTATTCATATCTAAATAAGTTGTCTATAAAATGGTAGGTAAAACCGTTAGCCGGCAGTTGAATTCTCGAATGATACCTTAGTATGATTGGACATACGTACGAACAGAACATTAACATTATCGACCCTTGATGGGACACATTAATTAATAAACAATACTTCAATTTGCAGCAAAACAACTGAATTAATATTAAATACAATACTTCTCATGCAATCTTTTCATTATGTTCACTTCATTTTTTCTATGTAGAATTGATTATGTATATATAAGCAGTCGAGTGAAACATCGCAAAATTAAATATTGCCTTTTGCTTGGAATCCCAATATATGAGATGAAATAAAAAAAAACGATATGAAACGAGCTATTTTGTGTTTTATATTGGTCATTGGCACAGTTTTCGAACAAGGAGAATCGTACTATGAACGTATGTATTACACATTTTATGTATAGCCTGAAAAAAAATCTGTCTCGATCTCGTGACATTGATAATCTATTGTACTCGACTCGCAAATATTAATTAACGTAAGTGACAAGATGAGATATACAGGCCAAGCTACATTGGTAACCGGAAAACTTCAATTACATTTGATCTACCGCAACCGTAGGGCGGGCGTACTTCCTAAAATCGAGAGAAATATGCAGCATTAAATAGGTATAAGAAGTACGATGCAAATATTCTATGATTTTGTGAAGCTGCAGCCGCCGTAGATAAGACTTTACGGAGTCTACCGTATGTACAAATGCATTCATCATTTGTTCAATAAACCTTTCCAATGTACCATGCCACCTTTTGGTAAAATTAAAGAAGCTAAGATATATTGGTTGGATTGATGATGTCATTGGTTGTACTTTTTCAAATACCAATAATTAAGTTAATCCTATTTTTGCTTGGACAGATTACAACCTAAATGACATCATTAATCTTGTCAATATATCAACACTTCTTTGATGTCTCAAAAGGTGGCGCAGGTTTTCTTGAAAAGTTTTTTTGAGCAAATGATGCATATATGATGCCAATCGTTTACATTTGCAGCGTGTTTCAATTTGATGTTTGTGTTTGATGTCTCGTGTGAAGTGGATAAAGAAGCAATTTACAATGCACTCTTATTTCATGAGAAATTGATTTGGGACTTGACAGTAAGTAGTTAATTGCATTTATTTTCAAGGACCTTGGAAAAATAAAATAAGATTCAGCAATAAGAATAAACATAAATTATGAATATACACATTATGTAATTAATAGTATATGAACTTGTAAGTAAATTTTTTATTGATATCAGAAAGAAATAACTAGATAGATATGAAGCAACGCCAAGGCGTAGCAAATCCCATTGAGCAGCCATGATTTACATCTTTAGAAATGACCACAAATTAACCAAATTTTGATAATTGCTTATATGTATTCACAAGAAAAGTTTTAACAATCGTTCCACTACTATCAATATATCACTCTACTATACCTTGCATTTGGTGTTCATGAGCAACCCATTTGGCTTATTAGTAATGATTATGTATTTGTTAAATATTTGCCTGTTCCTTATTAATGGTTTATCAGTTGAATGTTAGATGTTACTAAGGCACTTTCAAAAATATACTAAACAATACAATTAGACAAACAAAGTATCTTATTCATTTCTAGGTGTTAGGTATAGTAGAGTGTATATACCTATTCAGTTATAACAAAAACTTGAATTAACAGTATGTAGAATGGCCACCAATTTTAGTATAGTGATATGCTTCTAGATAATTCCAACAAAATCTCTCGACTACTTTTCCAGAGCAACAACAGAGAAAAGCTCACATCTGAAATTTCAACGTAATCACTCGACTACTTTTTGAGTTACAGTGTCGACGTTTTTGGTCCACCCTATAGAATGTTAACTTCAAAATGATACCTCAACTTATGCCTGGGTCACGTACATGTATGCTCCAATCCATCGGCCGGCCCGGTCGTTTGAGAGTTTTGTTCAATATTAGTATTCAATTTTGAACAAAAAAATCAATCGGCCGGGCGCCGTAGTGAAAATCGGAGCAAATGTGATCGAGGCATTATCGGGTCTCCTAAAAACAATGAGAGTAACCCCCTGATTTTTTCGTGTAATTTTATGTAAAACAAGTTTGTTTATCAACTTAGCAATGCTGAGGCTTGAATTAATTCGTTAACAGTATCAATTCGATGATTGTTCCTAGCTATGAATTTCCACTTACATCAATAGAAATTAAAATTTAAAAAGCCCGCTCAAATTTGTTCCAGTCTTATTGGCGTTTTCCTTCAGATTATTTTGGCTTAGAGAAGCCATATTTATTACTTCTAAGGGGTTACAATATAGATAAATCCCCAAAAAACATTGTATTCTGTCTTCGACTTATTGCGTTAAATTCTGACAGTTGGTTGTTCTTTTGGTTGTCCTGTTGATATCCTCAATATATTGGTGATATCTGTCTCAAGATATATCTAATAAGGTATATATGATGTTTTATGAGCAATTATATTGGGACATTAATTACTGATTGTCCAGAATAGAAATCTGGACGACTCGATCTCTTTAAACTGAATGTATTTTGGTCCACCCTATAGAATGTTAACTATCATTTATTAAAATGATACCCTAACTTAAACTGAATGTATTTTGGGATGTATCTTGCATGATTCCTGAAATCATTAATTGCTTTGTTATAGATTAACTATGAAAACATACCAGAAAACTTCAAAGAAGGTGCTGTTTTATTTGATAAAAATGAAAAAGTTATCTTTGAGATGGGATCCATTTTCCATGACTTTTTCATTATATGGGACAAAACGGATCTTAGAAAGACGAAATGCAAACCAAAAACTGATGTAGCATTAAGGTCGCTGTATGAAGATCACATGCGATTTGAAAGTACACCACGAAGTCAGAATAAAAGGAACGTGAAGGCCATGGCTGCTATACTGTTTACAGATGGACTGACAGATTCAAAATCAGTTAACAACATAGATAATGTCTTAGATGATTTAGTTCTGTATGGAGTCGATCTATTTACAGTCCTGATAGATAAGTAAGTATATGTGTTACAATTGAGGTGCTAATAGAGATTTCTCAAGGCACGTATAGCGTGTAAACTGGTGAGAATTCGCTCACAGGTGAAAGTGTAAATTGTGTTTATCCGTACAGCTATACGTCATAAGTACAACTATAAGAGAATTGAAATTTGGCGTTTCGCAAAAAACTTGTACTTATACTAATAAATATATTTTTTCTATCGATCGATTCTAATGCTCTTTCCACCAAAAATGAATAGTTTTCTTCTAATATTTTTTGTTAATAAGGTGGATAGTATAATTATGACGTCATGCCAAGTATTACTAGCCTATGATTCCCAATCAATAACAATATCTAAACGAGATAAGAGTTACCTCTTATAAAAAACGTTTTATAAGCGATAGCTCCTTATAAATGAATAGAGCTGCGCACCAAATGATGACACGCGCACGTTATCAGCATAAGGAATTTAAAAACAGCTTATAAGTGCGGTTGTGAAATAGTTTGGATTATACGCATAAATGTAAGATATGCTTTCATTTATGACCAAATATCTCTTTAATCTATAAGTGTCATTTTTGGAAATTTTGCTGAACCAAAACATATCGCAAAAATACAAGAATATCATTCTTTGTGCAGGAAATGTTATTGTACGTATATTTTGCGCCAAAATACATGTATTTCAATGTTTTCACGCGTGGTTTTAGGAAAAGAAAGGAAAAGGTTAAAGGCTTGCGTTCCATAGTGGACAAGCTCCAGGAGAGTAATGTGCAACGATACTATGACATAAAGGGTGATTTTGAAGGATCTAACTACAAATTTGGAGCCAATCGTTTCTTTGACATACGGAATGAGTCATCTACAGCTGTTTCTGAAATTGCAAATGAGCTCCGACAAAGGCAACCTTTCCCTCCAATGCGTCATTATGGATGCGGTATGTTTATTTACTTATATCAAGCACCATAGGCAATTTTCATTCAAATCAAAAATATGTTTGCACAAGAGCCAACGGGAAAGTACCAACAATTTTTACAGAACACAGAGAGAAAAAGAGAACATCTAACACTGTACACTATTCATAAGGAAAACAAACCCCAGCTCCCCAAAACCATAATCCAACGTGAAAATAAACAATGTCTAATACCCCCCCCCCCCCAACCCCCACTATTCAAGAACTATTATCACAATCCAAGACCTTACCATTATCATTTCATGAAGTCATTACAATACATGTTGAAGAATAAATTCAATTGCCAATACTCGCAAGTAGATACTTGTTTAGTATTCAAAGAGCATTCAGTCTCAAATGATGTGGGACAGAAAAAATCCAGTCTTAACGTATAAGCGTATCAACAAATGTCAAGATTTTTATATCGAATATTGAAAGGCAAGTGATAGCGATCAGTTGCAAACTGCTCTAAATAACTCCAAATAAAGTTGGAAAGCATACTGTATTATTGAAGAATCTTTTTTGAAACATTAATTTGATTGAAGACTGAAGAAATAAATCAGTATTGTCGATCTTTATTTTACATGTACATATTGACTGTAACACTCTACTACCTTGCATTTGGTGTTCAGTGGCAACCCATTTGGTTTATCAGTAATGATTATGGTATTTGTTTTTATGTGTCTGTTTCTTATGAATGGTTTATCGGATGACTGTTAGATGTTAATAAGGTACTTTCAAAAATTTACTAAACAATACTATAAGACAGAGTATCGTATGCATTTCTAGGGGTTATGTATAGTAGAGCGTGTAAGTAATGCATAAATCAACATTATACAGATGCGCCTGATCTTGGCTTTGAATCCGAGCCTCATTGTTGGCCATGGTTTGCCGCCATCCAGAGCAGAGATGAGTATCATCCGATGGGCTGGGTGAATTTTTGTGGTGGAAGTTTACTTAACAATGGCTGGGTTCTCACCTCAGCTCATTGCTTTAACAGGTTTGCACTTTAAGGTAGTTTTGTACTGGCAAACGCCTTTTCTATGTTCAAGGCTTAAAGCACTGGACTCATTTTCACATATGGCAAGGAGTCTTATAAAACATCACAGAATTCAACTGCAGGTAGGCATGGGTATTTTGAGATCCATCCAGTTTGGCTGTTCCAAATGTATACATTATCCCTCTGAATCGAATACTATTTTATGTGCCTAGATTTCTACTTTTAATTTTCAAGTCAAATATCAATTGTTCCTATTTTACTCAGTCTAAATAATAGCTACTAACAGTAACGCCACTGGGCCTGGCCAAAATTGGTCTGATTAGTAGGTATTCCCATTTAAAGGGTTTGTTATCAAGGCGAGTCGATCTACCAACGGTAGATACATTTTGGATCGAGAATGTGATGTGATCGAGATTGTTCACATTAAGAGGTGTTCAGATTAAAGAGGTGTTATATACAGGTGTATTACATACCTAGCGAAGCATTTGTATGGAAGTCAATGGGAAAGTTAGCGAGCTATATCCACCGATATTGCCCGATTACCCCGATATAGCCCGCTTACCTCGTTTTGATATTAGATTTCTTTAATAACCATGATAATATCATGACGTCACGTCATTGATACAACGTAACCATGGGAACAAAGGCATGTAATACATCAGTTATGTCACTATGACGTGAAATATGCCTTCGTTCTTGCCCAAATATAGAGCCTCCCAAGGTCGGCCTATATTGGGAGAACTCAGGCATATTTCACGTCATAGTGACATAACCTCTAAGTATCTCATACTTAATGTGGTTTGGGGTAGATATCACCTGGGAATATATATCATATCTGAGGAGCGGGCAGGATATATTGTATATGTCCCGCTCCAGGCCAAATGCGGGCAGATATAATATATCCATCCCGCTCCCGGGAATTTTCAAAAGTTTAAAAATCAAAAAGTTTTAAATTTTAAAGTTTAAGTTTTTTAAAAGTTTAAATGTTACAATTTCATGGTATTGAGCAAAAAGAATATTACGAATGTTAAATATAAATTGTGCTTTTACTATAGGCCTATTTTTTATTTTTATTTTTATTTATTTGGAAAACGCTTTTAGAGCAGCGGCACTCAATCGGTGCATCCAATACATCATATATAAAATATAAATGGGATAAAACATATCATGCAAAAGGCCACTAAAAACATGCATACGACTATTATGTGCACTGTACATGTATTTTCTTTAAAAACAATTTGACATATTTGTCAAACTTCACGTAATTATCATGTCCCCACAAGATTAAAGTGTCATCTCCCAGAGCCCAACATGTTTTTAGTTGTACACTTCCTGCTAGAAAGTCAGAGGAGAGTTGGTGGTTGCAGTTTGACACAACATTATTGAAAAATACATTCCTATCACTACCAAAGTAGGGACAGACAAAAAGTCTATGCTGTATAGTATCTTTAACATTGAGGTTACAAAAGAGACATATACCGTTTCCTTGACCCCATCTTTGAAGGTCAGAGCGAAGGCCAAAACATCCCGTCCTGGCCATGAATTTAAGTTTCTGACCATAGAAATCAAAGTCTGAGTTCTTATAATTTTCCTTAGAGAGATTACTTTTCAAACATTTGTAAAGATTTAGGGATGACTTCTCCCCTATTGAAGAGAAGAAAGCTACATCAGGCTTAAATCATTTGAGATCTGGATGTATGTTTTAATCTATCTTGTCATTTGAAAAGGTGGAAAATGTTATATCTACCCTAAACCCACTCAAGTATGAGATACACCAGTTATGTACGGTCTGTTTTGGATATAGGGTATATCCCTCGGGAAATATTTATATCTCCCCTTGGTCCCTTCGATACCTCGGGGAGATATAAATATATCCCTCAGGATATACCCTATATCCAAAACCTCCCAGAACATAACCCTTATATATACCGATGTGATATTCAGGTTTCGCTGTAATAACAACCATATGAAGATTGCAAAGGAATGCGGTTGATATAATACGTCGACTTCAAATGACAATTTTGATTTCAGAAAACGGAAAGACGTAAGAATAGTATTGGGCAAACATGACCTTACAAAAATTGAAGAGGGGGAAGTTGCTTATAACATAAGCATGATAAAAATACATCGTAGAAATGACATTGCCTTGGTAAAGCTTGATGGTTATGATTCAAATGTAATATCTGGAAAGATACAACCAGCTAAACTGCCAGCCAAAAATATGAAACACGAATTAAAAGATTATGTGGCAAACAAAGGGAAATTCACAGTTATTGGATATGGAGTCGTAACTAAATGTGAGAGAAAATTATAATGCTTGAATCATAAAATGTATATCTGTTTGAGTCGATGGGTTAATCTGAAGCATGATTTTCAGAAGCTTGCTTTCTATAATCCATATCCCCACAAATCTCTAATTATTGAAAAAGTAAATACATAATCTGTATACTAGTATTATGCAATAATACTTACCTTTGCAGCAATATTTGGTAGGCAATCCAATGTATTGAGGGAAATCGAAGTTCTATCACAGCCCTTGGGCCAATGTAAATCCACTTACTCTGACAAAACCACAAAGCGTCTATTTCATTTAAAAAATATCAGGGTAACAGCAGATTCAATTTGTGCTGGAGGCATAGGTTCCGATGCATGTAAGGTAAGACTTATTTAAAATGGCACCATTAGGTACATGTATGGTCACATGGTGATTTCTACATGCAAATTCCCTCATGTCATTTACTAGCTACATCGTTTTCATGTCACCACCACAAGTGGCGACATAGTCTCCAATTTTGTAGACAGTGTTCGGCGGTTGATGTTCGGCCCAAATGGTAGGTGGTGACACTTTACATGTAAAATGCCTCGTCTTTTTGGGCGTTCATTTTAAATAATACATTCAGGTCAAGTTACAAGAGTAGGTCAAATTGCAAACGGAGGTCAAGTTACAAATATATCATAGATAAATACAACACACTCCCGAAAATATGGAATGTATTATTTTTCTTTCAAAAGTATCGCCATAATTGTGTTTTAAATTTCGGTTCCTCGGTTTCCAAAAATATATTACTTATCGTAAATAGGCCGATATACATGAGCAACAGCCAACATTGCAAAATTTTGGCAAAATTTATAAATTGTCGAATATTGTAAAAATGTGAAATTTTGAAAAAAGAAGATTCCTCGAAAAACGAGACAAAGGTACATCCAAAATGTTATTCCTCGTGACAATATGATATTTCTCTGGCACTCAGGGCCCTTGGGAAATATCATATTTCCCTCGGAATAAACCCCATATTGAATCCCGTATTCCTCCCAGTAAATAACCTCTATTTATCCAATGTTATTATTTTGTTGTCTGTACAATAACAGCAAGTGATATTTCTGATATTATGGAGATCAGTGTGATGTTTTTTAAGAAAATCGTTTATCAGCTCCAATTTAAATGCGGCTATCGTCAATCAACCGCACCTACGGGTGATATGTTTATCAGCCGCATATACATAAGCGAACTTAAATTTTTGGAATTTAAATGTTTTTGATTGTTTCTAAGGGTGATTCTGGAGGCCCATTGATGTCTAACATGACAGGTGAATGGTTGGTTTATGGTCTGGTAGAATCTGGAGCTCCTGCATGTGGACTAGCAGATATTCCAGGAGTGTATACATCAGTTATCCATAATCTAAAATGGATAGATAGCATCACTGGACCGATTCAAAATGGTGGTAGTAAGTGCATTACATAGTATGTTCCTCAGCTGTTGTTTAACCATAAAGGCCCAATGTAAAGTTTGTATTTGAAATCTTTTTAATGCCAATTGGCTTTTAAAATTGTTGTTCAACAAAGAAAAAAACAGAATTAGTAAAAGAAACTCCGTACCAATCAAATTAATTGTTTAATCCTCATTTTAAACTTAAAATGAATATACAATAATATAAATAATTGCATCTATATGCATACATCTTTATGACTTTATTCCGAGGCCAAGTAACACTCAAGTCAGCTTTGCGTAAAATCTATCTACATACGTCTGTACGTTTTTACTTTATTTCAGCAAACCCCAAAGTGTATATGGCTCCAAATGTATGTCATAGACCAGTCTGTGTAAAAGAACTGAATGTAATTATCGTAGCAGATCTCACAACTGATGCAGACATTAGTGAATACCCCATTGAAGCATTCATAATGCAATTGGGTATTGCTCCAACTAAAGTCCAACTTGGTATTGTGGCAATAACGGATGATGTCCATGAGGTTATAACAATTTCAAGAGAGTTCGGAATTTATAATATAATTGAAGCTTTAAGAAATGTCACTCAAGCCAAAAATATCAATAAGAACAATCCGATCCGATCCACTACCAATGATGAGACAACCCCCTATACAGACGAAAGTACAAAACCTCTAACAACAGCCAGTCCAGAGTCACAAACCTTCCACGAAGAAATGATTATAAGAGCATTTAAATTAGCAGATGATCAGTTAAAAAACAATGTAAGACCAAGAGAAAATGTTAAAAATTCTTTCATATACATGACTGCCTCGTGCCCTCCACATCCACTTTTTGTATTTGTTGAACATGATTATTACAGTATGACAAATGCCATATATACAAGAAGTATGTGGGAAGAAACAATATTTCCTCATTCTCTTAATGAGAGGTGTCGAAGAATATACACCTCATATGATACCAGAATGATAAAGTCTAATGTTATTCTAAACTCTGTGGCTGTCGGCGAAACGGTCTGCTCATCATGAAATAACATCCGACTTAAAACTTTGACTATGTGAGTACAATCGTCAAAGGGAGACCAACAAAACGCATGAAAGAAACACACGCTTCTGAATTCAAAATGGCCGTTTTTTCAGGAGATATAAAATTTATGATAACTTAAAAACCACTTACTGTATCTGAAAATGATTCAAATAGAACGCTACAATAATTTTTAATCTGATGTGTTGCCATTGATGTAGACTTTGCCAAAAAGAGGAAAAACTAATGACTGGTCATTATCCCGTCAAATGAAGTCCGGGGATTCGTCCGACCAATAGTTCAAATTCCGTTGGAGCAATATCGTTTAGTATGATCGAAAGTAAATTTTCAAAATGGCCTCCATTTTTAGTACCAAATTTTATAGTGCTTTAGGTAAAACATAAAAAACTGTAGTATATATGTTTTAGATGCAAAAATATGAAAAATATCGAGCTGAATATATAGATGTTAAAAAGAAACATGGTGGCAATTTTGAAAAATGACGGCCATTACACAATATAAAACGATTTTTGCTGTAACTGGAAAAGTGGTGAGGCGATTTTGTTCAATGTGAATAATCATAACCACGGCACACTGTCTTATGACACTGGCTAGGAGGCGGCCATTTTTCAAAATTTTTATACATGTTATTTAACTATTACAATTATTGTATAACTCAAAAATTAGTGGTGCGATTTTGTTCGTATTTTGTACGTAAATATATACTCATATGCATGGTGCACTGACTAATGGCACTTTGGCTAGCAAGTGTCCATTTTGAAAAATGGCCGCAATTTTTATGCACTTTATTTACATTTTCTTACTTTAACTGAGAAAGAAGTGGATCGATTTTGTTAAACTTTTATGTGCCTACTTATGCCTGGGTCACATTTGCTCCGATCCATTGGCCGGCGCCCGGCCGATTGAGTATTCTGTTAAAAAACTGAACACAACTGTGAACAGGATACTCAACCAGCTAGGCGCCGGTCGATGAATCGGAGCAAATGTGACCCAGGCATTAAGAATATTCATATAACACTTTCTCATGGTAATTTCATTTGGCTAGTGAGGGGCAATTGTGAAAAATACTGGACATTTCCATTTAACCAGTGGGACTTTTTATGTTCATTAAACTCAATATCAAGTGGTTTTGAACTATCATTTCAATCTATTTCTGAGACTTGTTGTAATATTTACATGTTAATGTTTACAATCAAATATGATGCATTATCATACCACCAGGTATTGACAGTCTTCAAGCACATTAGTTTGATATACTAACATGCGGCATTTGTAGTACAGTGTTGTGTGAATGACAGTATTACGCGGTCCTAACTTCGACCGTTAATTTCTGTCAGTGCATTACTTTATTGTAAAGAGTCCCTCGTTCTAGCAGCGTTTTGGTCCCCAGCTGTTAAAAGGCCCTCTTACAGCTGGGGACCAAAATGCCGCTGGAAGTAGGGACTCTGTTGAAGAGAATAATGTACCATCAGAAAGGGATTTGTGTTTGAATGGAACAAGTTTGAAGAAAACGGTGCAGTATGAGACTTGTAATCCTTGATTTTCAAACATCCAGTAGGTCAAAAATCCAAATTAACGGTTGAAGTTAGGAACGCGTGAGTATAATAACTCCTTATATCATTGTTGTTTGAGAATAATATCAATCCTGAATTACAATTGTTAACACTATTCCCAATATTTGTAGTTTGATAGAGTAATTTCAATCATGAATTACAATTGTTAACCTTATCCTAATACAACCTCTAGTTTGGTAGAATAATTTCAATCCTGAATTACAATTGTAAACACTGTTCCCAATATTTGTGGTCCGACAGAGTAATTTCAATCCTGAATTACAATTGTTAACACTATTCCCAATATTTGTAGTTTGATAGAGTAATTTCAATCATGAATTACAATTGTTAACCTTATCCTAATACAACCTCTAGTTTGGTAGAATAATTTCAATCCTGAATTACAATTGTAAACACTGTTCCCAATATTTGTGGTTCGACAGAGTAATTTCAATCATGAATTACAATTGTTAACACTATTCCAAATATTTGTAGTTTAATAGAGTAATTTCAGACATGAATTACAATTGTTAACATTATCCTAATACAACCTCTAGTTTGATAGAATAATTTCAATCCTGAATTACAATTTTTAACACTATTCCCAATATTTGTAGTTTGATAGAGTAATTTCAATCCTGAATTACAATTGTAAACACTGTTCCCAATATTTGTAGTTTGATAAAGTAATTTCAATCATGAATTACAACACTTAACCCTATCCTAATACAACCTCTAGTTTGGTAGAATAATTTCAATCATGAATTACAATTGTTAACACTGTTCCCAATATTTGTTGTTTGGTTGAATAATTTCAAACATGAATTACAATTGTTAACACTGTTCCCAATATTAAGTGTAGTTTAATTGAATAATTTCAATCATGAATTACAATTGTAAACACTGTTCCCAATATTTGTGGTTCGACAGAGTAATTTCAATCATGAATTACAATTGTTAACACTGTTCCAAATATTTGTAGTTTAATTGAATAATTTCATACATGAATTACATTTGTTAACAATTCCTCATATAAACTGTAGTTAATGCATTTTCTTGTTAACTCTATTCCAAATATTAACTGTTGTTTTAAATTAAATAATTTTTAATTTTTATCTACATGGATTATTACTAGCATTAAAACAATTTCAATCATGAATTAAACTTTTAACACAAATCCCAATAGTTTTCATTTGACTAAAAAAATGTGAAACACAAATCCAAATATTTACTATCATTTGACTGAACAATTTCAAACATGAAATAAAACTTGTAACTCTTATCCTGATATTAACAATCATTTGATTGAATAATCATGAATTACACTCGTTACACAAATCCGAATATATTTCATGTATTTACTAATGTTTAACTGAATAATTTCAATCATGGAATACACTTGCAACTTTGCTGTTAATCCGTCTATAGGGAACTGAGGTTCCATATACATGTATCTAGTGTATATAAAGTCCCTGGATTAGTATAGATGATCTAATTCCATCTTTTGTAGCACCAATGAGTCTTAGATGATAGAGCATGGCAGCATCATTGTGCCTATCTTCTTCTTTCCCTTATACGCCTGCAAGACATCATAATATCAATTGTTAATACACATTCTGGGTGTTTTGCATTTTTGATTGCAAAACAGCAAGTGAAAAAATCATAAAATAGACATTCCCAATCAACCCTGTCATCTTTTGCTACACAAAAGAAACTTGGGCATAATGACCTTCATGATGTCATAGGTTGTAGGTGGCAATGCTTACAAACCAATATAGGATTTACTTGTTGTTTACTTTAATAAACCTAATGGAAATGTGTTGCTACTCACAAAACATGACATTACGAATCTTGCAAATATAACCTAACTTCCTAAGGTGTCGCAAAAGGTGGCTTTCCATCGCCCATTTACAGTAACATTTTAGGAGGCGCATCTAATTGCATTGAGGAGCATTTTGGTTTGACAAAATAGATGGAGGTGCTGCGCCTCAGAGATTTCAATGTGAGGAGAGCACTGGGATGACGAAGTTATTAAGATTTGTTTTGGTTACCTTTTTTGGCTCACCCAGTATAATATAAACTAGAGCAAATTGGCAGCTCAATATAAATCATAATGTATCATATCTAGCCTCAACATCCTGGAGAGGCTGCCTCAAGAAATATCTTTTCACCATGCTTTCAAGTTTTAGATCACATAACACTAAGAGATATAAACTTAATATTAAAATAATCTTTCTCTACTAGGCTAGTTCTTTCAATCTTAGTTTCTTTCTTACTTGTGAGTTATAAAAGATAAATTTGATGTTAGGAATACTTACGATCTAGGTTGATTTCTATGATTTGCATTACCACGTGATGCTCCCATGGCTTTCTGTTTAATCCGTGCAGCTGCCGCTTGCCTTGCACTATTAGGCTTGAGGGCACGTCTGGGCTTATCCCTAGAGCGAGAGGAAGGTAAAGGGGGAAGAGGCGGTGGAGTGTAATGTCTAGTCTTTAAATGGGAATGGCGCTCCCCGGAGTCATAATTGGAGAACATTGGCAGTGGAGGGGGAATAGATTTACTGGCATATTGCTTTGAGGATTCTGAATTTCTAATGCTAGAACGTGATTTAATATTTCGACTTGAGCCTCTATCAGACATAAGAGGAAGTACAGCTTTTTTCCTGGCTTCACGTCTCTCTTTAATGCTCATCCGAGATTTCACCCCCTTGTTTCTACGCCAGTTACTCTTCTTTGGCCTTGGGGGTGGGAGTAGAGGAGGTGGGAGAGGTGGAGGGGGCAGGTATGTCATGTACTGGCTATCATCCAGGGGGGACAGACTGCGATGCTCAGCTGGGGTGTAAACAGCCCCAAGAGCACTACGTGGTGGAGTAAGTCTGTCTTCTCTGCGGTATGATTGGGTCTCATTATATGAACTATATTTCTGAGGGTGACTTGTTGAATTATCCCTACCTGATGCCCGCCCACTGGAATATTCAGTCATATGACTACGCTGGGGTTTTGACTCTGACTTGTATCTTTTATGGATAATGCTCTTTATTGGTGATCTTCCAGAAGGTAGCCTTGTAGATTGTTGACGCAGGGGAGATCTCGAGACATACCTACCAACTTTACTCTTAAGTGAAGGCTTCCCCCGATTAGGGGAGGAGTACTTGTCTGAACGTGGCAGGGGTGATCTCCCCCTAGATGGGGAAATATATGGGGACCTGGCTCTTTTGCTTGAGTGTGCCTTAGGGGGTGTTCTCCTACATGATACAAAGTGTGTATGATTCCCATCACTACCTGTTTTCCTTGAATTGTAATCAGGGTTGGAGCTCTGGGAAATGGGAGATGATGGGGAATGATCCCTTAAAGGGGAGCCGTAGCGAGCTAGGAAGTCATTTCCCATTAGTGGGGCTGGAGGGGGTACAACTGAGTCTACTAAAGGACCGACAATCTGGCTCATCAATGGAGGGGGAACATTAGGAAGCTTATGTTTAGAATTCCGAGGAGGAGATCTTGGAGACAAACTCCTGAACATCCTTTGAGATTTACTGCTGTACTTATCTCCCTCAGGAGCTTTGCCCCTGTGGGAGGCACCCCTATGTTGCGATGCAGGTCGTTTAGAACTAGATTTGCGTGATTGGTTGGTTTGAGGGAGATACAGTCTAGAATCAGGGGAGCGCCTGTCAGGGTCTCTACCGTGGGAGTGTCCTTGTGGAGGGGGAACAGTATGAGGTGGGGATGAATAGTGTCTAGAACGTTTTCTATTAGGCCTAGGTGATTGGCTGCTCTCTTTTGCTCTATGGGTTGGTTGGGGTAGTCGATCTCGCCTTTTAGAGGTTCCAGAATGTGTGTTATTCCTGTGTGCTCTTCTGAGTGCAGCCCCCGAAGTCTTCGAACGTTGTTGTCTGGTGGGTACAAGATCGGGTAGTAGGGGCACCACAGGAACAGGGGTTAGAGGGAGATCCATCAATGAGGGGATTTTCGCAGGTAGATCATGCCTCCTTTGAGGGGTCCTAGACCTGTTAAATCAATGGGGCAGAAATGTGTTATAGAATCTGTCACCACATACATGTATGTGTAAAGTTACTATATAGGCGATCTATAAATTAGAGATAATTCATTTATCTAGCTATATCCATTCTGAATATGTAGTCAAAATTCAGAAAATGTTGACACTTCATTTTCTGCATTTAAGTGACTGATACATTCAAATTCAAATTCCTTTTAAAGCTGCAATTGTGACTGTTATGATCTATCAAGTGTAAAATCATGTTATAGTTAGAGAGTAGCGTGACTAACTGATTGGATTCAGGGTAAGTATACATGGTTAGAATATAACACCGATGCAGTCTGGGGTACGAGATTATACATGAGTCTTGAATCAACCTTCAGCACTGACAAGTGTGACACTATCTGATGTCTACATTCTTATAGCATACATGGCATAAATGAATGCATATTTGTAGCTACTTGGCTAGTATTAGTAGTATCACTTTAGGCTAGTATTGATCCTTGTCACTATACAGTTAGGGGAAATATTTAGACATATCATATATCTTCTGGGATCTGCATTCTAATAGAGATGTGATGTGGAGGCAGGGGGGGGAATTTCCTTGCTGACCTGAAAAAAATCTGATGTAATGTACAGGAGGGGAGTTTCTCTATGAGGACTTTGTGATTAAACACTACTTAACAGTAGGTTTCAAATCACTGGCACTGAGTTGGTTGGAGATAAGGTTATGGTGATACTCTTGTAGATCTCCTATAATAAAGTAGCCCTACAAGTCGGCCATGGTGGAATTTGCCTGCTAAAGTGGACGAAAGTGTGAGGAACTACAAGATGAAGGTAGCTCTGAGTTATGAATCCATGATTGCAGCTTGCAAGTTGGGGGTCCTGAAATGGAATAAATGATTGAATAATCAACCATGGGGGTACCTGCGTCTGTGGCTCAAAGGGGATCTGCTTCTATATACAGGAGACAAGGGTCGTCTGTTGTCATCCTTGTTATCGTATATATCATCTTCATCATTGTTGTTGTAACGGTCATCAAATCTGTCAAATTTGCTTCGTGAGCGTGAATCCTTGCTCTTGCTGTTTGATTGATGTGGGGAAGGTGGGCGCAAGTGTCGCTCACGTTCCCTGGGTCTTTTTCTCTGAGGGGCTCCTCTGCTATTACTGTTTCTACTATCATTAAGTTTAGCATTTCCTCTTTGTTGATCAAGACCTAATTCAACTCGTACTTTCGATCCACAAAAATTGTTCCCATTTAAGATACGGATTGCCGTATCAGCATCTCTGGATCTCTTGAAGTAGACAAAAGCAAATCCAGGGGGGTTTCTTGCAATCCATGGATTCTCTGTCAGTGGTCCAAAGTGTGATAGCTCATCTTCAATGTCTCTTGCAGTAACTGACTCTAATATATCTCCAATGTAAACTTTTGTTCCAACACTCTTCCTTGAGTTAGACATCTGAAATCAAAATAATAAAAAAAGTATAGACTCATAAGAAATCACAGGGTAATTTTCTAATCTAATGTAAATACAGTAATTAAATGATATATGATGAACCAATAGTTTGCAGTCCTAACTAAGTATGTCGGCATTTCTAGTACATGTCAATTGGTCATTCAGAAAACCTCCAGAGATTTATGTAAGTTTCCGAGCAAAAACCACCATATTGGAATTGGGCTGAAAACATTCACTTCACGAACAATTACAAGTCAATGATCGACAAAGAAGTACTCCAGCGCTCCAATACTTTCACAGACGGACGCCACTGATGTAGTCTATTGATCATCATGTCCTTCCTACATGGGAAAAAACAGGAAACTTTCAGCACAAAATTATTAATTTTAGGAAGCTTCACTTCCCAAAAATAAACGTTACAACAATTCAGTTAACCTAAGTACATGAAGTAGTAAGGTACAATTAAATGCTATTAAAAGTAACACAGCATATTGTCAAATGGAAATAAAGCTAGCGTAAGTAACAAATATATGCAAATTAATTTACTCCATCAGCCATGTTGAATGGCACTTCCTACATGTATTTACAGGGTGACACAAAAGCACCTCTAAAAATTTCAGATGTGTAGCTCAAGTGAGTCAAATTTTATGAGCATTACAATTACATTTGCTCTAAATGTTGTCTATTCCTTTGCGGACACCCATGGAATCAACACAAAAAATGCCACCCAGCTTTTGTAACATAACTGATTTTGGCTTGTACTTTCAGGAAAATGAAGTCTGTTAAATTAAACACAAAGGGTCAAGATTGCAGTTAAAAATCCCATTGAGGACCATTATAACGTTTCATGTCATAATATATTCAGGGGCACAGATCTAGCTCAGCGAAACAGTGGCTAGTGTTCATTGGAGTCTTGTCTAGCTTGCCGTTACAAAATAATGATACGGTGACCACACCGTTTTTGAGATAACTGAATCTGGAGAGAGCTACCATGGTAAAGCTACCCGTTTCAGAAAATTATTCTGCTCTACATAGTCTCGAAAATCACTCCGCCATCTCTAAAAATTCCGTTTCTAACCAAACTTGTCAATATTTCCTGATAGATTAGTACCTACCCTATCGAGAATAAACATTGATTCATTTATCAAACACTAGATGGCGCTGCGATGGGCCGGAAAAGGAGAGAAGGTATTTTTATACAGGAAACCAAATAACCAACGGTAACCGCTAGTATCCCTACTCCGAACTACATTCAAAATAATGTAGTTGTCATTGATAAAATCATTATAACTTATTTCTAAAATTATGTTACAAATTTTTTGTACAAGATCCAGTTGTGCCAGCAAAGGAATAGACACTATATTTTGCAACCCTCATAAATGTGCAGGTGAGCTAGTCATCTGAAAATTCTTGTGGAGTTGCAAAATATAGTGTAGCTTTACTCGTAATGTGCGAAAAAAAAATCAGGATTTCGTCAGACAAAAAAGTTAGGAAACATTGCATGGGTGGGTGTCACTTTTATTGTGTCACGCGGTAAATGAATATTTTTCAATCCCAAATTTTAACATATGTGGCTATAGTGTGAATATTTTCATTCCTGTGAAACGCTTGCTCCCATTGTGCTATGTCAAAATGTACAACTTCATCTAGTGGTCCAATTAATCTACGTAAAATTATATTGAGTCAGGTTACTTTTTGAGATATCAGCACCTATTTATTGTAAGTCGCATTTGCTACCATTCTGAATGATGGCCAATGCACAATTAACTTGTCGATGTGGGAACTATTTTTGACCTATATGATATATCGCTAATGTTGTAATAAAAATGTAAATTGATACCACATTATGGCATAATAAGTACAGTAGAAGCCAACAGTGGCATTTTTTACAAAACAGCATGTTTTTAAACAGACTAAACAGGGGTTTACACAGGTGCTGGATGGATATCAAAACAGAGGAGTGAGGCACGATTGCTCCGAACGAACTGCTCTAGGAGATATTGACGATAAATAGAAATTATTTTTCGATTAATTTTTACTTCCTGAGAAGACTGCCTTCAGAGACATGTTTGGCTGAATTCAGAATGTGACCTAGGACAAGGGCTGACTTAGAACATACTGGTAAGTACAGGGTGGGCCAAAAAAAACCAATACCCAACTTTAAATCAGGATAAAAATAGTTACGTTCAGTGTGGTACATTGACTTATATATCATTTTAAAGGTAATACATTTTCAAACAATTTGGTATATAACACTATGACATAAATCAATAGTAAAGGTGTATTATACTTATTTGGGAGGCTGGGTCGCTATTTAAGGTCTCTAGATTTTGGGGAGAAAACAGTAAATCTTTGAAATTATGTAAACTTTTTATTCATGGAATATCATTTTGTTAGGTGAATACAAGCTTGAATATTCACGGGGTGACATCGAATAATTTTGGCAACGTACCGGAGAACGACATTTTACTAAGAAATGGCAATAATTAAGCACAATATATTTTTTAACTCGAGTTCTACTTTGATTTTGACAAAAGTAAGTATTCCATGCAATGGCTATTTCATTCATGAATTTGAAGGAATTCTGTTGGAACCCAGTTCTGATCAAGTACGAAGTTATTGAAATCGGCGCAGTCGGACTTTACTCCGAAAGATGGTTTTTCGATTATAACTTTTTACAACATTTAAGTATAGACTTTTGAAAAAAGTACAGAATAGTCCTTATACTATTGAATAATTCTGTTATTTCTGATTCACACGACTCTGATTTGTTTAATTAAAAAAAAAGTTTTAAAAATATTACTTAGGAACGTAACCGGAGCTGGGAACGTAACCGGAGCAGATCAGTTGAATTATATAATTTAAAAAAATACAATATATGATTTAAAGCATATATATTATTTACAAACACATATGAATGTTAAAATGAGCATTATTTATTACCCTTCACTTACAGGAAAATCAATGCATGGCAATTAGTATAAATTAGAAATTAATTAGAAATTAGTATAACAGAGTGGGTTCTAATAGTTTGCTGAACAAATACAATGGGTGAAATCAAATGGAATTATTTGCTTACTACATTTAATCACTTCATTCTCCATACAATGATTGTTCTATGTCTGATAGCCTTTCTAAGGTAAGTGCACTTATGCATGGTAAATACCAAATTTAATTTTTCACAATGGATAAATTTTTTTCTTTAAATTAAATGTAATAAATACGCATTCGAACAATCCCGTATGTTTTTAAATTAGTATATGTGCTTTAAATCTGTAACGGGGCGAGTGTAAGGCCCGTGGGTGGCAAATAAAAGTAACAGATAACTAAAGTTAAAATATATAAAATAGTCTATTTCAAATAAACTTCAAACGTTCTCTGTACAATCTACATTATCATCTAACTCTAAGCAACTACTTAGGCTGGGCCAACACCCAAACTCAGCTACATGTGAGTGAATGCTATTATATGGAATACAAAAACAGTACGAAACAATCACACCATGAAAAGCTAAAAATTGCTTTAAATAAAGGAAGATATAGTAGAAAGTATACAAAAAATTGAAAACATTGGAATTAAATATTTGAAACACTGGTGTAAAGTAATGAAGGGACCTGTTAAAATGACATGGATGGGGATTGGTCAATATGAAAAGTAGAATTATAAACAATGCAGGGTTCTCACCAGGAAATTTTTAGAACCCGGAAAAAAATTCAACGTTCGCGCCCCACCACCCCCCCCCCCCCCCCCCCCCCCCCCCCGTGAAACATGAAATGATATTTGCATTTTTCTGAATATTGGTTATGGTTGGAATGAAATACTCTCCCAACCAAAAGTTCAAAATCTTGCCATTTTTGGACCAAAATTTAACCCCCCCCCCCCGTGGATTTTAAAAAAGTGACCCCCCTTCTTGACCAGGTCACGTGGTATACCAGTATATGTAACACTGGGCCAGCAGAGGTTGCAAAATTGCATCCAAAAAGAGTATGTTTATTACTCAAAAGTAAACAGAATCAGCTTCAGAAGATCTTAAAATAGAAAGAAAAATTGCTGTTTTTATGAGAGTATAAACATTATCACTTCTGTACCAGACCATGTGGTTCAATATTTACATCCTAACTTCTGATCATGTGATGAGTCATGTGATGAGATCAAGTTATAAATTGACCAATCATGTTGTCATAAACATTCAAATTTAAATTTCCCACTAAACACATTCCTAAATGAAGCTAATATAGTGGCTGTTTCGTTTAAGAGGTTCCTCCCCGTGATTTAATTATTTAAATCTACATGATAAAATGGAATTGCCAAATTTTATCGGAGGGAGTATGTTTATTGGAATCAATTACTACTATTTTCTCAATAGATGTCTCCCTTCATACCACATGAAGGAAACAAAAATGTCTTGATGATACGATGATTTCAATTGAAAATCACCTGTTTTTAAGACCTTATATTGGAAAATTAGAATCTGTACGGTAAGTGAACACTTTATTATATGTTTTGAGAAGTTGTAACTCAAAAACTGAAGTTAAAGAGGATAAAAAGTGGCATTGAAAAAAAAATCCCCAAAAATTAGAGACCGGCGGCATTCATTTTTAGCATTAGACACTGGCGCTATCAGGTCTGAACATGAAAGAGAACGGCGGGGCGCCGGACTCTAAATTGTGAGAATGACCATGTTACAAATCATATATTTTAATTTTTTTGATTAAATAATTCAACTGATCTGCTCCGGTTACGTTCCCAGCTCCGGTTACGTTCCTAAGTAATATTTTTAAAACTTTTTTTTAATTAAACAAATCAGAGTCGTGTGAATCAGAAATAACAGAATTATTCAAAAGTATAAGGACTATTCTGTACTTTTTTCAAAAGTCTATACCTAAATGTTGTGAAAAGTTATAATCGAAAAACCATCTTTCGGAGTAAAGTCCGTCTGCGCCGATTTCAATAACTTCGTACTTGATCAGAACTGGGTTCCAACAGAATTCCTACAAACTCATGAATGAAATAGTTATTGCATGGAATACTTACTTTTGTCAAAATCAAAATAGAACTCTAGTTAAAAATATATTGTGCTAAATTATTGCCATTTCTTAGTAAAATGTCGTTCTCCGGTACGTTGCCAAAATTATTCGATGGCACCCCGTGATATTTGCATCATTTGTGACTTAACTTATTGTTTATTAATTTCAGTATTGATTACTATCAATAAGTACTCAAAAGAGGTATGTTAAAAGACATAAAACGTATATGTGGTTGGGGGGGGGTATTTTTCAATAAGACAGTGCCTTGTCCCATAGATCAAAGGTGACATTGGCATTCCTTTACGAACAAGTTGTCAATTTGACTGATCCAGATGCTTGGCCACCCAGCAGCCCGATGCTAATGTGGTGGATTACCATACATGGAGCCATCTCCATGTATGGTAATGGGTCCAGGAAATGGTGTACAGTCACAAGCATCCAATAAAAAGTAGTGATTAGCTGAACCGCGGAATCCTAATTGCTGGAATGTATTGCAACAGTAATCTGTTGATAGATGGCGCTACCGCTTGAGGCTTATTGTTGACGCATAGGGGGGGGGGGGGCATATTAAGCAATTGTTTAAATAAATAAATTGTAAAATGTTATTAAACAACACTGAAATTCATAAACAATAAGTTTAGTCACACATTGATGCAAATAAACATGCATGTATTCACAAAATGATATTCTATGAATAAAAAGTTTACATAATTCCACAGATTTACTGTTTTCTCCCTAAAATCTAGAGACCTTAAATAGCGACCCAGCCTCCCAAATAAGTATAATACACCTTTACTATTGATTTTATGTCATAGTGTTATATACCAAATTGTTTGAAAATGTATTACCTTTAAAATGATATATAAGTCAATGTATCATATTGAACATAAGTATTTTTATCCTGATTTGAAGTTGGGTATTGGTTTTTTTGGCCCACCCTGTAGATACGTGGTTACATCACATCATTTCATTATTTTAAAAATATGAACTTGTTGCCAACATTTAAAATTTAACTGTAGTCTAGGGTCTGGGCCATGAGGAGTAAGTCACCCCTCCATCTTATATTCTAAGCCTATATTTTAATATAAGGAATAGAGAGATGGGTGACTAGGGTGAAGCAGGCCTGTCAACTTGGGAACACCTAACATGAGTGACTTGGAAATGTTGAACACCTCCCCTCAAAATGTGGACACCTTGGTCCAAATCTGAACACCTTGACACCTTGGGGGGGGGGGGGTAGGTACGAAAATTTTCGAACGGAATGCGTGACATATCCGTAATTCGCGTGAAAAGTCCGAACGAAATGCGTACGTTTTTTTCGCGTCGTTCGTATTTTTGCTGTGTAGACGATCTTTTCAGAAAATTTTCTACAGAACTATTTTTGCTTGACAATTACCAGGTAAAATGCGTATTTGCGTGACATTTTCTGTCACGCAAAAATAACTGACGTGACTTCAAATTCTTCAGCAAATGCGTGACAAATACGCAAATTACGGGACAGTTGACAGGCCTGGTGAAGGGGTGTAATGTCAACACCATTTTGGGATAACTTCGACATGTGGGGTAACTTTGACACCTTGCTGTTTATTTGCTCTAATTTTCAATCTAGGGGGAAGCCATTTTCTTTTCTCACATGGATCGAGAACTCGCGAGATTTTAATTTTTCCAGAAATCAAAAATGGCAAAAAATGGAATTGTATTTCTAATTAGTAAGTGTCCAAATTACCCTGTCTCTAATGTTCATGTTGCCCCACACGTCCAAGTTACACCCCTTTGCCCTATACCTAACTCTCTGTAGTCTGGGCTAGGCAACTTTTTGACTTGGGTGGGGATTTCGATCTCGACCACTAGGAGTTTACTGCATAATGCCAATCATAATCTCTGTCTTCGACTATATCCTATTTGTCTGAATAATATTCAGACTGAATCTCATGATTCAGTATGTTGGATACAGACTAATCTGTCTGGTTATTGCACAGATGTTGGCCAGATTGTTTTGTAGTTGGATCATAGGCTCAAAGAATAATTCAGAAGATGCGTCACCTTGATTGGAAAATTCCAAAAAAGTGACCACCTCTCAAAACGTTCCTTATACGAAATGGTACCTGCTTCCCCGTGACAGATTTTGCACTTATTTTATAGCTGAGATCTTCATCTTTCTATTTCTACTTGTTTGGTTCGAGTAAATAACTTATGGATGCAGTTATTTGACTTTTAATACAGCAAATATTTTTCACAAGATTCGGACTCTTGTGTGTTCAAATATCATTGTACTGATTTACTTCGGTCCAAAGCCTTCTCTATATTCCGGCTTTGAGTAGGAAGATAGAGCTGCCTTAGTATTATAAATATTGTAAATCATTGTTTCACACGCACAGTAAATATGGCATAATAATATGAAATATACCTTTATGTATAGATTTGAAGAACATCAGCTCACATCCTCGTCTGAATCTATTGTTATATTTGATTTCTGCGAGAATAATTTCAAATTTTATTCACGTCCAGAACCGGAAGCCATTTTTAGCTACAGCGAGAAAATTTCACCATGTGTCAAACTCCGAAATGAAATTTTGAAATATCTAAATCCAGACAAGCAACACTTCATCCTAAATATGATCAATATTCTTAAAAATATTTATAAAATTTTTTAAAAATGAGTTCTAGGTGCGTGCACTAGCACCTTTTCTAGAGTACATACGAAATCAATGAAGTTACGTCTAGCTGTAAGCTAAAGACTCGAGTAAGTACTGATGACGTCATATTTCTGGAACCACAGGATCACCATTCAGATTTGGACAGACAAGAGTCCAGCGATAAAATATCACTGTTTTGGCCTCTTATGAACGCAGTATTGCTTGAATAATGGTCAATGGTGATAAAAGAGTTAAAGAATAACAAGACGCTTCAAATGAGGTATGATTTGTCTCATATTTTTCAGAAATGGCTCCACAATCGTCATTTTAAAATTTGAAATTTTCTGAGGTGTCTCATCTTGAAAAATTATAAATTGAGCTACGGATTCTACTACAAAATAATCTTGCCGGGATCAATGTGTATCAGTTTTATCAATCCTGCAATAATCTAGCTAAATCAAGTGTGACCATTACTCACGCTCATAAACTGTGACCTCGGGCGTTACATATACTCTGTGTGAATACCTCGCACTAAATATTCTTCAGATTTTTGTATCGTATCGAGCTCTGGGCCTTGAAATGTCATCAGAATTTTAACTTCTCAATCTTAGAAAAGATGGTTGCCGTCTTGAATGAGAAGAATATGTAGCAGTGATTTGATTGGTTAATATAGTGATTTGATCTTGCCTAATAAAAGTTGTCTTATCTATTCAATAAAAAGCAAGAAAGAAGGAAAGAAAGTAAGAAAAGAGAGGAAAGGAATATGTTTAAATGTATGTATCACTATCGAATCAATTAATCGAATTATAACAATGTTTGCCTCGTGTAAAAGTGAGAACGAAATTCAATTAGGAAACTAATATCGTTCGCATAATTGACGCAAAACGGATGTTTATGAAAAAGTGTCCGATGATTCTGCATGAATAAAGTAGTTATTACTCGGTCAGCCTGAATTATACATAACAATGGTTTGTGAAAAATGTAGGTTAACATTTCAATGTACTTATTTACCTGGAAATGCTAGGTTTGAATTGCAGCACCACAGTGATATTTCAATTGCAAGCTCGTGAATTTATTTTTATTCTATTATCGCCCACAATTTTTATTATTTTTTCCAAAAGGGGGAATAACCCTAGGGTTCAAAGGAGACATATGTCTATGATGTAAATCTGTACTGAGACGACAGACAAACAATGGCCGTTTCAAACTTTTCTAAACACGCTTCGGATAATATTGTGTTAATTTCTGGCGTGTGAGAACAAATATTAAGATAAAGAAAGGGGAAAGGAATATTTAAACATCACAACAGCGTTACTAGCCAGTGAAAATTCTAAAAAACGAGGGTGGTAAGCAAGAAATGTAATTATGTCTGTCACTGCTAAAGCTCTTGGGCTTTCCCTCCTCTTTTTCCCTCAACTTAGGATGTGATTGTGAGGCACAAGAACCTGTATCAACACCTGGCATCGATTGGTGTGTTCAAAAGCCTCAATTTAGATTTTAAGATGGAAACTAAGATATTACGAAAGAGCAAACTAGTTTTTAAATGATTTACCACAAGGATTTAAATGAATTAAAGGTGCAACAAGTAGTGCAGAGCCATTCAACGATCATGGACCAGTGTCAAAATATATTTAAGTTTGGATATTTCATCGAGACTAACATCTATTTTTATTTTCTACAAAGAAACCCCCTAGATAATCATTATTTCAGCTTATATTCCTCTTGAAACATGGTGGATCTTAAAAATATAAAAGTGGACGTCCCCTTTTTGAAGCTTTGAACTGAATGTACACTTTTTAATGCCGAAATTGATAGTTTATCCATACATTTTTAGAAAATAGGTATGTTGAAGATGTTAGCCAACTGTTTCCTTGATAGCTCAGAATACTTTTTCTCTCTACAAGCCTTATTGCCCCTTTAAAGACCTAATTTACTATTTGGTATTTTCTGAGATTCAATTTGGTTAAAGTATTTGAAGGGCAAGACTTTGAGAAATATTTATCTATAAATACCCCCCCCCCCTCAAACTGTACGTTCTGATGCAATGAGACTTACCATTCTTGGTATTCACGGTGGACCTACACATATTCACACAATCAAAACAAAGCAAAGAAGCATTTAACATGCTAGAAGACCATAAGATATATTGGATTGTTTGTGTGAATTACATATGTGGTGAGAAAATGTATTTCGAAAGAAAGTTCCCAAGTACAATTTAAATTTCTTTTGGTTTCAGGCCAAAAGAAATTGGGAAAAGTTATAACACCAGATCCTTGGAAATCAGGAGCAAGAAACATAACTGAAGGAGGAGGGAGATCGGTCGGAGAAAACAAAGCACTTACTTCCAAGAAAAATAGGTAAATAAAGATGTCAGCACAATGAACCACCTATACATAATTTACTAAAATGGAGATCCATAAACTGAAGTTTTTCATTTTCATCATCTTTATGGGTCATGATTCTTGCTGTTTCGGAACATTTTGTACCTTTATTTCGACTTTCAAATAGTCATTCATAGCAGATTAAAAACCAAGGTTGAAATTTCATGATAAATATAAAAAATAAGTTCAACCACAATGTCTGGATAGTCAGCGAGACTCACTAATAATAGGATCAACAGAGGTCAATGTTCTGAAATGATTCAGATTAATTACATTTCAGATTGACAACATCTAAAATGAAATTCAGCATTTATTGATTTGTTTCAAATTTAATCTACATGCAGTTGCATCCTTAAGATTATACATTCAGTCATTCACTGTCAAAAGTTATCATTTAGCCCTTCTGCAGTTATAAATGATATTTTTTACTTGAACAGGTTCTCTCCCTACCAATCAGAGTTCAAGAAATGCAGAATTTGTAAAACATCAGTCCATCAACCTGGCTCACATTACTGTCAAGGTAAGTCAACCTGACTCATATTACTGTCAAGGTAAGTCAATCTGACTCATATTACTGTCAAGGTAAGTCAACCTGACTCATATTACTGTCAAAGTAAGTCAACCTGACTCATATTACTGTCAAGGGAAGTCAATCTGACTCACATTACTGTCAAGGTAAGTCAACCTGACTCATATTACTGTCAAGGTTTGTCAACCTGACTCATACTGTCAAAGTAAGTCAACCTGACTCATATTACTGTCAAGGGAAGTCAACCTGACTCATATTACTGTCAAGGTAAGTCAATCTGACTCTCATTACTGTCAAGTAAATCAACCTGACTCACATTTCTGTCAAGGTAAGTCAACCTGACTCATATTACTGTCAAGGGAAGTCAATCTGACTCACATTACTGTCAAGGTAAGTCAACCTGACTCATATTACTGTCAAGGTTTGTCAACCTGACTCATATTACTGTCAAGGTTTGTCAACCTGACTCATATTACTGTCAAGGTAAGTCAACCTGACTCATATTACTGTCAAAGTAAGTCAACCTGACTCATATTACTGTCAAGGGAAGTCAATCTGACTCATATTACTGTCAAGGTAAGTCAACCTGACTCATATTACTGTCAAAGTAAGTCAACCTGACTCATATTACTGTCAAGGGAAGTCAATCTGACTCATATTACTGTCAAGGGAAGTCAATCTGACTCATATTACTGTCAAGGTACGTCAACCTGACTCATATTACTGTCAAGGTAAGTCAACCTGACTCATATTACTGTCAAGGTAAGTCAATCTGACTCATATTACTGTCAAAGTAAGTCAACCTGACTCACATTACTGTCAAAGTAAGTCAACCTGACTCACATTACTGTCAAAGTAAGTCAACCTGACTCACATCACTGTCAAGGGAAGTCAACCTGACTCACATTACTGTCAAGGTAAGTCAACCTGACTGACATTACTGTCAAGGTAAGTCAACCTGACTGACATTACTGTCAAGTTAAGTCAACCTGACTCACATTACTGTCAAGGTAAGTCAACCTGACTGACATTACTGTCAAGGTAAGTCAACCTGACTCATTACTATCAAGTTAAGTCAACCTGACTCATATTACTGTCAAGGTAAGTCAATCTGACTCATATTACTGTCAAGGTAAGTCAACCCGGCTCATATTACTGTCAAGGTAAGTCAATCTGACTCTCATTACTGTCAAGTAAATCAACCTGACTCACATTTCTGTCAAGGTAAGTCAACCTGACTCATATTACTGTCAAGGGAAGTCAATCTGACTCACATTACTGTCAAGGTAAGTCAACCTGACTCATATTACTGTCAAGGTTTGTCAACCTGACTCATATTACTGTCAAGGTTTGTCAACCTGACTCATATTACTGTCAAGGTAAGTCAACCTGACTCATATTACTGTCAAAGTAAGTCAACCTGACTCATATTACTGTCAAGGGAAGTCAATCTGACTCATATTACTGTCAAGGTAAGTCAACCTGACTCATATTACTGTCAAAGTAAGTCAACCTGACTCATATTACTGTCAAGGGAAGTCAATCTGACTCATATTACTGTCAAGGGAAGTCAATCTGACTCATATTACTGTCAAGGTACGTCAACCTGACTCATATTACTGTCAAGGTAAGTCAACCTGACTCATATTACTGTCAAGGTAAGTCAATCTGACTCATATTACTGTCAAAGTAAGTCAACCTGACTCACATTACTGTCAAAGTAAGTCAACCTGACTCACATTACTGTCAAAGTAAGTCAACCTGACTCACATCACTGTCAAGGGAAGTCAACCTGACTCACATTACTGTCAAGTTAAGTCAACCTGACTCACATTACTGTCAAGGTAAGTCAACCTGACTGACATTACTGTCAAGGTAAGTCAACCTGACTCATTACTATCAAGTTAAGTCAACCTGACTCATATTACTGTCAAGGTAAGTCAATCTGACTCATATTACTGTCAAGGTAAGTCAACCCGGCTCATATTACTGCTAAGTCAACCTAACTCATATTACTGTCAGGGCAACTCAACCTGACTCATATAACTGTCAAGGTAAGTCACCCTGACTCACATTACTGTCAAGTTAAGTCAACCTGACTCACATTACTGTCAAGTTAAGTCGACATGACTCATATTACTGTCAAGGTAAGTCAACCTGACTCATATTACTGTCAAGTTAAGTCAACCTGACTCACATTACTGTCAAGGTAAGTCAACCTGACTGACATTACTGTCAAGGTAAGTCAACCTGACTCATTACTATCAAGTTAAAGATATGCTATACAGATATGTAGGTCAGTATTACATAATCGTGAAATGAATAAGTCTGAATATATCATTGGTCAGAAAACACTAAAACCTGCTTGAAACTGTAAAAGTTTATACACTCTATTCCACACTGTATAGAAATAAAATAATTTACACTATAAGTAACTGTGAGCCAATCATTGCATAGAAAAAACTTTATGCACTGTTTATAAGATTCACTGAGACAAGTGGGTCAATACTTCATGTACTTTATGTGCTCTCACACAATTACCTTCCCTTGCATAAAGTTGCTGTACAGTTATATGTAACTGAATATTGTATATTCATCAGTCACAAACAACCTTAGCAAAATGATGATTCGACGAAATGGACGGTTCGCTAAAACCAATAAACCAGGCAATCCAGGCCGATTTGGAAAGAAACTAGATAGCGTGATAGCGAATGAGGATAGTAAGTGAAATATATTTTGCAAAGGTCAGCTTGTAAATTACTGGGTAACCCTAAATGATGAAAGATATGTACAAAATATGTTTTGCATGATTTATTCATATCCCAATGATTTAACTCCTTCACTGCATCTAATAAGGTATATACTTAGGTGGTTCAAAAAGTTTTGCAGTTGATGCCATAACTTAAAGGAAAATAGGACTTTTACAATGATACTTGGTACACATATGTGTTATACATTTATACATTATATGTTAAAAGGAAGAGGTGCGATTATTGGCAAATACCCCTATGGTCAAAATGAATAATTGTTAGGTGTAACATGAAGAATAGAATGTCATATAACTCTTTGGAAAATATCAAAATGCTTGGGCACACATAGGCTGAGATAGGGGCCATTTAGTTTAGTAAGGTTGTATTGCCTTACATGGGGCTGTGCTTCATTGACTTAACATGAGGATATCAGCAGATCCCAATAGAGGCCATTGGTTTGTATTGATTATCACACAAATACCAAAAATACACTATGACCTGAATCGATTGCAAACTTAATAATTTCACAATATGGCACTAATGGTTTTTCTCATCAAATGTGCAAATATGAAGTTTGCAATCGATTCAGGTCATACTTAAAATTAAAAGATTGTACATTTTTTCATCATTTTTTCCCTACAAAATGGCTATAGAAAAATGCTCCAAAAACAACTTTTACACTTATCAAAAATCATACAACTTTGTAAAACCAAAGAATATACTATTTTATTTCATTGATTATGTAGTAACATATTTGGATAAGATGTAGGGATGCGTAGGATGCAAATGGATTTTGACAGACACAAAAATACTTCCTGGTTTGGAATCATATGCCTCTACACTTCATGATTGAATTATGCCCCTAATAAGTAGCCTATACATCAATACAGTGCTGAATATAGGTCAACAAGATACTAGTGTGCATATAAATGTAATAATTAAAGCAGAATACTCATTTTGAAAAATCAGATGAATTTTTTTTTCTCATGGGGAGATCCTAGTTCAACGTCGTTATACTCAATAACGGCGTTCTTTATTATTAGGAATTTTCTTGGGGCCATTATTGAGTTTAACCTCCTTACTATTCTTTCCTTTGATGCAAGTTCTGAATCCATCGAAACCATTTTTCCGCGATAACGTGCAACTGATACTTGACAATAATATAAAAACACATAACATCAAGCGATTTAACACAATATTATTGTGTTAAATGTTCATTTATACGAGTAAAATGAGGCTACACTTACCAATCTCTAAAGTGACATTTCATGTCTGTCATTGTGTCTGTTCGTCTGAGTGTCCCGGATCGTAAAATTAAACTACCAGAGAAACGAAATTGTTGTCAAATAGATTGATAATTATTATCGCGATTACTCGGGATAAAAAGATCAATTTTGAGGATAACAGGTATCTTTGATTAATTTATATAGCGCGTATATACACGCAAAATAGTTATTAATTGCAAACCAACTGTTCGTTAATGCAGTGCCGTGATGACGGTTAATTCCTGAAACGATTTGCAATTTCGATGTTACCGAAACTGACCGACATTTTCGTCATATTCCAAACCTGTCTCCAATATTTTCGTAATTATGCATCAATAGGGTCTAAGGGGGATACGGGACGGGGTGTATGTGTTTATAAGGTATGTATGCATGCTTGAATCACATTCTTTATGTAATATTGCCATGTTTTCAGGGTTCAATTAGTTCCGCTTGTCGAAACCTGCTGAACGATTAAATTAACGCATCAAAGGCAAAATGGTCATGGAGGTTAGACCTAGCCGGGCCATAACACATGTCAGATAAGAAACGAGGCCCGGGCTAGGTCTAATGTTGTTGGACTAGGGGAGATCCCAGTGGAGGGTGTATAAGGTCCTTTGGTACCTCAATTTTGATGCTTCCTGGTCAACTCAACCCCAAGTCAACTCAACCCAAGTCAACTCAACCCTTAGTCAAGTCGACCCCAAGTCAAGTCGACCCTTAGTCAAGTCGACCCCAAGTCATCTCGACCCTTAGTCAACTCGACCCCAAGTCATCTCAACCCTTGGTCAACTCAACCCTTAGTCAAGTCGACCCAAATGATTTTACTTGTTTTAAGTAGATTAAAATACAATATAATCCCATTGTTTGTGCAGTTTGATTTGAAATCAAACTTCAAAGAAAAAAACATTTCTGCCACCTATAGATCAAAACGAAAATTTGAAATGGATCATAAAATCCCAATCTGATTGTTTATGACACCTGACATGGGTACGATAATGGAAATTGTAAAATCATAAATCCCATTGTTTGTTCAGTCTTGTTTTAAAATCTAGATTCAAAAAAAATAAACATTTCTATCGCCTATAGATCAGAAGGAAGTTTTGAACTATATCATATTGTTTATTGTTTATTATTATTATCAAAATATAAAATCATTCAATACAAAGTAATGGATGGATGCTGGCACAATGCACATATTGCATAAGTTACCTGTTGTCAAAAATACTGTTGCAACAATTTTGGTATAACAGAAAAGTGTATAGATATTTTTTTTTATTTCAGAGAGATAAAACAAGCTCAAATATGAAGGGGTGAAATATATGTATAGCATCGTGAATAGCCCTATTAAGATTAATCAAATATTATTTTGGTAAATAAATGTCATATTTATAAAAATTATAAATGCGTTAAGCACAAACTTCAATAGTTGATAATTTTATTTTGGAAAATTAGCATTTTAGTCCCTCATTCTTTCAAAATTCATCAATATCATACCATGAAAATAGTATATCTATTTGTTTTTTTATGGTGGGGTCGAGTTGACTAAGGGTTGAGATGACCAAGGGTTGAGATGACTTGGGGTCGAGTTGACTAAGGGTCTAGATGACTTGGGGTCGACTTGACTAAGGGTCGACTTGACTTGGGGTCGAGTTGACTAAGGGTCGAGATAACTTGGGGTCGACTTGACTAAGGGTCGACTTGACTTGGGGTCGACTTGACTAAGGGTTGAGTTGACTTGGGTTGAGTTGACTTGGGGTTGAGTTGACCAGTTACCATTTTGATTGGTTCTTGAGAGATGGTTGCTAAGGTAACCAGAGTGGTGGGTACCATGTTCAACCGGAAATTACGTTTTCCAAATAGTTTTCTTGCTTGAATAAACTCTTTGCAAAGTGGCAATTAGCAGGTGTAAGTGTCTTTGGGTGGCTGTTTTTCTTCAAATTCTTCAATTTTTTGCTAGCTGTCAACACATTCTGGCAATGCTTTAATTTTAATAGAATTATTTTAATATTTTACTAACTGTATAATATGTAGTTTGCATTACTGTTGATAAATAAATAAATGATTGCACTGTTCAGTAAAGAAATATACCAATTGTATTATTTAAACTGACTAAACACTATAGAAATGATTTTCATTGAAAAATCAAATCAGTACCAAAATTATGGTTACCCTGTAGTAGTGAAAGGCACATTGAAAATGAATATCACCCCCTTCAATCTATTTTTACAGGTTTTTATGATTATTTCAGATTTTTCTATAGTTTGCGTAACCAGGACGGTGAATTTTCTTCATTTTTCATCAAACATTTTGTCTTACCAATATTCATTATATCTGTCAATTTTATTAAAATCGAGCCGCTACGTTTGAAAATAATTCAAATTATGTAGTTTTCCCCATTGAGCTCCATTATAAAAATGGAATTTTCAAACTTAATATTTTAAAATTCTATGCGGTGAAAAGTTGCATATTGAGTAGTTAGTTAATGTTATGGTGTTAAAAATTCAAAACAAAAAGGAAAAAAGAAAAAATGCCACAGAGAAGTCTCAATAGAGTCTCTTTAAGTCAACCTGACTCACATTACTGTCAAGTTAAGTCAACCTGACTCACATTACTGTCAAGTTAAGTCGACATGACTCATATTACTGTCAAGGTAAGTCAACCTGACTCATATTACTGTCAAGTTAAGTCAACCTGACTCACATTACTGTCAAGGTAAGTCAACCTGACTCACATTACTGTCAAGGTAAGTCAATCTGACTTATATTACTGTCAAGGTAAGTCAATCTGATTTATATTACTGTCAAGGTAAGTCAACCTGACTCATATTACTGTCAAAGTAAGTCAACCTGACTCATATTACTGTCAAGGTAAGTCAACCTGACTCATATTACTGTCAAGGTAAGTCAACCTGACTCATATTACTGTCAAAGTAAGTCAACCTGACTCACATTACTGTCAAGGTAAGTCAATCTGACTTATATTACTGTCAAGGTAAGTCAATCTGATTTATATTACTGTCAAGGTAAGTCAACCTGACTCATATTACTGTCAAAGTAAGTCAACCTGACTCATATTACTGTCAAGGTAAGTCAACCTGACTCATATTACTGTCAAGGTAAGTCAACCTGACTCATATTACTGTCAAAGTAAGTCAACCTGACTCATATTACTGTCAAGGTAAGTCAACCTGACTCATATTACTGTCAAAGTAAGTCAACCTGACTCATATTACTGTCAAGGGAAGTCAATCTGACTCATATTACTGTCAAGGTAAGTCAACCTGACTCACATTACTGTCAAGTTAAGTCAACCTGGCTCACATAACTGTCAAGGTAAGTCAACCTGGCTCACATTACTGTCAAGGTAAGTCAACCTGACTCATTACTATCAAGGGAAGTCAACCTGACTCATATTACTGTCAAGGGAAGTCAACCTGACTCATATTACTGTCAAGGTAAGTCAACCTTACTCACATTACTGTCAAAGTAATTCAGTCTGACTCATATTACTGTCAAATAATATTCTTAACGACACAACGCATGTTTCGTTATTAGCTCTTTATGACCTGCTTTAAGATCACCTTTTTCTTGATATCTTTGAAATATTTTTGAAATCTAAATAAATGAGATACATTAACCAAGACACCACTGGAAGTGCTGTCCCCTTTTGAAAGTTAAAACTCTAAATCTGTAAATTTATTTTACAGCTTCAATTTTTGTTTTTCAGGATGTGCCTACAAGAAAGGAATTTGTGCTATGTGTGGGAAAAAGATCACAGAGACTAAAGGCTATAAACAATCATCTGTCTGAAAAACATTTTTAAAATTGATCAATCAGTGTCCCGTTTAAAAGACCAAAAGTGTTTAAAGTGGTATTTAACATGGAACATTGGACCATTAAGTGTTCAGATTTAAAGGTGTTTAGATACAAAACAGGTTTGACTGCACTGTAAATCGAGTCTTGTATAGTCCTAAATTGACTAACCAACTACATATTGAAATAGAGGATGAGTGTAGGAATGAAAGCCTGTTTTTTGTAAAAAGTGCATAAATGTGTTTGTCCTTTGTCCTGAACTGACTTATTGCATGGATAAATGGATGAATCTATACCCGAACGTCATTCAGTGGGAGAATGAATAGGTAACTGTTTTGCACGGAACACAATTGAATATGCTTATATGTAAATGTATCTCTAGATCTATAATATATATATAGAAATACATGACATTTTGTTTTTAAAATGTATAATGACTTTTACTTGCTTATTTGAGGTGAGACTGTTGTGCGACAGCTAATTATCAACATTAACTACAGTATACATATTGTTGACCGCCAATCAACCAATCAGAATCGAGTATTTCAGTTGAAGTACTAACAATAAAATTTAGTGAACACCTCTTTAGTGAACACCTCTCATAGTGAACACCTCTTTCTAATAAACACCTGTCTCTAATGGACACCCTTCCTCTGCAGATACTCTACTGGTTATCAGCAAGGTGCAACATTTTATTAATATTATAATTTATTTCCTTATATTGTATGATATTATAATTACATGAAGTGGAAGACACCCTAATGGGAATATTATCCACAAAGTAGGAAATTACAAAATTAATTGATCGAATCGCCTGCACCTACCCCCTCACCGAGGCCCGTCCGCTAATATGGTAAGAATATGTAAAATAAAATTTTGCTTTTCGCTTCCAATTGTGGATTGAATAAACCCATTTAAATTCTTTCTGATTTGTGGTAACGGTAATTTTTTCAGAACTTTGATAGTAAATAAACAACTAGAAGAATTTGAACAATAGGTTTTCGCATTTTGGTACAGATTATGTAGAGACGCTGTGGAAATTGCTATGACAATTACTATGGTGACCTAAACAATGAAACCCTCGTATTTTGGAATAACCCAATAACGGTGATATTTTCTTGATAAATGAGGTTATGCTTATATTTCATATACGACTTTGAGATTTTTAGAAGGCACATTTCCTTAAAGAATGCCATCGCCCCAAATCATTCAAAATGTTGTATTTTTTTTTTAAATTGTCATTCTTTCAAAATTTTCAGAAGTGTGTGAGCAAGAAGGCGTATAAATTAAACGTCATGTTAATAAATATTCCAACGTAGTTCATTATAACAACAGCAAATTTCGATTAATTAAGATCGAACATGCAACTCTATTAACAGGTCAATTCCAATGCAATTAAAAGATTTTTGAACAAACATTTAGGAAAATACATCGTCCTTAGCCTTTCATCAGCTTAGATCGAATACTCCATTATCAGTGCACAACAATACCAGTCTATAATCTGATAATGCTCGATATGTTTAGAAATGTGTCCATTGATATCAGATATATCATGTCATTAGTGCTCTTGTTGAGTAAAGAAATGTTAAAAATCTTTTATTTGGATATACGTTTTATCCTTTTATTTATTCATATGGGGTGATAATCGATCTTTAGTTTTACAAAAGATTTTTATCTGTTTGTTTCTCTTGGTTATATATTACAGGCAAATGTTAAATCGCATTCACACAAAGCTAGGCAATGTGTGTCCGATTCCAGCCAATCGAAATAGAGTATGCACATAATGAACAGTGTGAAATATCAAAAGAACCGTCCATGGTATAAAATAAGACAATAATTAAAGTACAACTATTTACACCCCAGTCACATTTCCTACGGCGACCTTGCGGTCTATCATTTCTGCGGCCAGTAACATTTCTACGCTCGCCGTGGAATTTCTGCGCTCTCATACTTTTGCAGTCACATTTCCCACGGCAGCCGCACGGTGAATTTTAAATTTCTGTTGATAAATAATACTTTTTTCATTTTATTTACATCGGGACAATTTATAAATGTTATTCATAGTGCTAGCGTGTAATATCAAATGAAAAGTGATCGTGAAACATTGACAAATAATGATTCAATCTTGTTGAGCCAGTTGATTTCTACGGGGACCTCAGAAATGAACAAATATTATAACTCCGAGTTATAATTTCTACGCCTTCCCTGCGGCCTGTAAAAATCTGCATTCGCCGTACGGAGGCCGCAAGGCGAGCGTAGTTTTTCTACGCTCGCCGCAGAAATTCACCGATTTAATTGATCTGCGGTCGACTTGCGGCCGCCGTGCGACAAATGTGACTGGGGTGTTAGTCTGTATCGACCTTGAAAATTGACTAAGTGTTATTTAATCCACTTGGACTATTGTTGAGTGTTCAATAATGCTAGAATGTCAATAATCGCTAAAGATGCTGTTATAAGTAGAGATGTATGTATGTATTGGTAATTAAGATGTTGAAATGATGGATAAGAGATTGTTATTGAAGCAACACTACATCATCTTCGTCGGACATCACTCGGTGATTTACTTATCGCCACACGCACTGTAGGCTCAGGTGTGTAACCACATTGTGATCTATCCGTATGGTAAACCGAACGGAGTCATAAGTGTGCGCAAACGGATTTGACGTAGATGGTAGATGGAACTTTTTATGATGGACGTGATCTGACGAGAATAAGGTGATCCAGGTAAACTTATCTTGCAGTGAATGGGTTGAAGCTGTTGATGCAATGGAGTAACTCCACAAGCAGTTGCTGTTGTAACAGGGTCACATTTTACATACATCTAGGTATGTCACTGGTAATAAAGATTCTCTAATTATGGGCGTTGTTGGTTAGTAGAGCTTATGGAAGGACCCCGGACATTTTACTTGAAGAAGACTTAGCAGTGACCTGCTCCTTTGCAAAATTAAAACATATTTTATCTGTCAAATGTCAATAAACCTAAAACAGTTTTGAAACTCGCAATGAGAAGATGAAAGTTGTCATGATCAGATCAGTGTTTTAACAAAATTTAAAATCATGCCATTAACAACAAAAATTAAAAGAGTTTGGAACGTCAATGCTTCAATTTTTACATTGTTAAAACAAATTTTTGTTTTTTAAAATGTAAACATTGTTGTAAACACTGAGGAAGAGTCACAGCATTGAAAATTTTTTTTTATTAATTTATTTAGTACTATTTATCAATTATCCTCATTAGTTACATCTACAAAATTATCTCCAATCGCCAAATGCATGCAGGGCATTATAGAAGACATTAATGCGCTTTTGAATATAATTAAGGAGCAATGTTAACAGTAGTTTTTTTGGGGTTGTGGGGGGTGCTTGGCGTGGGAAACAGTTTATAGAGATAAAAGATGATTCAGAGGGAAAATTATGTATTGGCTTTTATAAAGGAAGCTAGCCTGGTCATCATTTTCGAATTTAGTTCGATAGAGTTTTCTGTTGAGCCACATTTCAGAACTTCAAGATATTTATGCTGAGAGATTTGCCTGGCAAAAACTTCAGGGATCAGGTTTTCCCCCGGTTTTTCAGGTATTGATTAAATTCATCCCTAGCTTGTGTCAAAAGAGCACAATGGAAAAAGAAGTGTTTAACTGTTTGTGGATGTCCACAGGTACAATTTGGGTAGTCAATATTGCTGAAGTATAGTTGGGCCTAAAATAAAAGGTCGGCCCTGAATTTATTTACTATAATCTCACGTCTCCTTGTGCAGTTTGCTTGTTGTAATGACAGTTATTGGATTTTCAAAAAGTAGTTTTTGATGTTTCTTAAAATTCTGAATAGTAGCTTTACTCTTTAATGTATTTGGCAAAGCTAACCAGTTGGAGATTGCAGAGGATACCGCTGAATTTTTGTACCGTTCAGAACAACTTGGTATAACGAACTCATCAGTGTTACGCAAGTTTCGTGTTTCTGGTTTTTTTGAACCTATCAAATATGTCATCGAGAAATTTAGGGTTAGGACCATGTACTATTTTGTACATAAAGTTATAAACATTTTTCTTCTAGTGTCAAGAGATGGCCATTTGAGTGAATACAATCTGAGCAGTAGATAGCAGTTTTATAATATAATCTATCGAGCCTTTGAAGTATATATTTGGAAAACGATTGTAAATAATGGTACCATAATCAAAATGAGGCAATATGAAGGAGTTGACGATTTTCTCCATTGAACAAATTCTCACCTTCAATTCTTTGTCTCCTTTCGGAATTATCAAAGACTGTCATGTTGGAATTTTCCATTGATGGCATATTTTCCATGCAACCTCATTTCCTTGTTTATGATAAGATTATTAAGAAGTGGTAATATCCTTTGAGTTGATTATATAAGTTAAGGTAAATGATATCCTTGCACGTAATCACGCGAGTTGCACGAAACATATCAATCTTCTCATATTCTAAACTTCATTTGTTACATTAGTGTCGGATATGACTTCCCTACTTCAAATTACCTAAATTATCGAGGCCTCTAATTTTACAGTAATTTCCATGACACTTACTACAGTAGGTGCTCTACTACTTGATTATAACAAGGGTGCGATTATATGATAAGATCGAGGATGATATTCAGCTCCATATGATATTGGACGACATATCTAAATTAAATGTAGTTATTTAACATGCCTCGAACAACGATTCTCACATCGCGAACGTAATTTTTTTTTAGTACAAGTGGTTCGCGAGCACGGATCTCTGTGCACGAGTGGAGAAATATGTTCGGGAGCGAGGAAATAGTTATGCGCGACTAAAGATTTTACGTACGCGATGTGAGAATCGTGGTTCGTGCGAGTGCAAGGAACGTAGTTTGCGACGTCAGAACTGATGTTCGCGTTGATGTAAGTCAAGGAGGCCTGTTTAGGAATGATCTCGTACACCTGAAATTAATTTAGTGAAACCTGTGAAGTGGAACACCTCTGTTAGTGAAACAAGTGGAACACTTTTTAGAGGTAATAAAGGTGTTTCACTTCGACAGGTTTTTCTGTACTGTAAATATGATTTGAAATAGGCACTTTGAAACAAAACTGATTGATGACAATAATGTTTGTGCCGCAGTAATATGCAGATGAATCATCTAATAAAAACTCTCGCGTAGAGAGGATGAATCCAATATCAACGTGGTAATAAACTATCCATTATGAGCTGCGACGAATCGATAACATACACGAGTACCAAAAACTCCGTTACTTTCAGACTATTGTATTCTTTCTCTTCCACAGACGCTGCTGTGCTGATAAAAATGGCGGCCACCGATGATGCGATGCTGACCGTAAGTATTGTTTAACTTGTTTCTCTTCCATATCAGACGCTATAACATTATATATATATTATATATATATATCATATATAAATGAAAAGTTAGTAATATTTTACCTTTTCAAAATGGTAACCGGTCAACTGGTTCCAGAGACAACTCGTCCCCAAGTCAATGCAAGTAGTTTTGTTTATTGGTCAGGGAATGGGCATCATGTAAAATATCATGGCTGTCTAATAAGTTCTTTCTATTTGAGAAGGCAGAACAATGTGACAAGTATAAGAATGGGAAATGGGTATATGGGGGCAACATATGATTATTATAGTCACCACAAAAAGTGGTGGCGTATTCTTGTGCTCTCCATTTTTTGATGGCGGTTGATGGATGGCGATCTGCGTCTGTAACACTGAAATTCTTAAAACTTCCGATTACCTAACAAGTACTGCTTAGACTGATTTCGATTTTTAAAAATCATCTACAAGTTTTTTAGAAGTTCAAATCTGACTAATATTTGACCTTCAATGATCTCTTCAAGGTGAAAAGGGTTAAAAATGGTTAAACGGTCTTTTTTCACTGACTTTAGATTTGAAATTTGACCTTCGATGACCTTCTCAAGGTCAAAAAGCTCAAACTTTCAACTTGCTTCAAATTGACCACAAAAGTTCAAATCTGACTATTGTTTTGTCCTTCAATGACATTCTCAAGGTCAAAAAAATTTGATTTTCAATCACCTTCTCAAGGTCAGAAAGGTCTTTTTTCAACTTGCTTAGAGTAACCAATTTTTCAAAATCATCTACGAATTTTCCGAAGTTGAAATCTGACTTTTAAATTTCACCTTCAATGATCTTCTCAGGGACAAAAAAGGTATTTTTTCAAATCGACAATTTTTTGCAAAATCATCTACAAATTCACAGAAATTCAAATCTGACTTAAGAATGAATTCATAATATTGTGAGCAACTACAGGTAGGTTAGGGTGTTTCATTTTCAAGAATGGTCCTTTATTACGGGGTAACAAATGGTCCAGTATTTCACGGATTTTTTTAACAAAATCGGATAACGTTCAGACTGGTCCATCGGCCATTTTAATTATTCCGTCCCATTGGATCACATTGTGGGCGACGCCCACTTATCAATGGAAAACATTGTTTCGCACTTATTTGCTGCTCATTTACAGGGAATGGTTTGAACCAATTTTCTTTGATATAAGCATTTGAGAATACATCAAAACACTCTCAATTGATGCACTTCTAGACTGTTCTAACACCTTTTATGGCAAAGATATTACAGATCTACTGGCCCAGGGTTCGAATAATTAAAAAAAACATATATCGGGCAGTTAAATTCATGAATTTTTTTTTCTGAAAACAATTTGAATATTTTAGAAATTTGTTATCATGAAATAACAAAATATTCCATTGCAAGTGTAATAAAACATGTTTTAGAATAAAAGTGGCTGAAATCAATTTTAATTTTTGATCCCCCTCCCCCAGTAAACTACAGGTTAGTAGACTGATAGTATCTCGGCGACAAAAAGTGCTAGAACAATCTAGTTTGCATTAATTGAAAGTGTTTTGATGTATATCCAAATGCTTACAACAGGAAAAAGTTTTCCAACCATTCCCGGCAATTGATAAGCAAATAATTGCGAAGCAATGTTTTCCATTGAAAAGTGGGCGTCGCTCGCAATGTGATCCAATGGGACAGAACGAATGACTGACGGACTAGTCTAAATGTTATCCAATTTTGATGTAAAAAAATCAGTGAACTATCGGCACCATTTGTAACTCCGTGTTAAAGGGCTGTTGATCTGAGAACATTCTTGAAAAATGAAACACCCTAACTAGGTGGTGATATTTTGTCATGTTAATGCCTTCTTATAAATTGTTTAGAATAGTTTGAATAATGTGGAACGTTATGGAAAGAAATACTATTTTGACATTTTGAGATATGACTGTGACCAAGTGTCGAGTAATCTTTCTTTGAGCCAATTGATACCAATATTACCAATATGATCGGTCAATCCTTCACTTGAGAAAGGGATTGATTGTGATATATTGTTCTAACACAGATCAAACAATTGTGTTTTCTTTTCTTTTTTCCAATTGACCCAGGTGTTTGTTTGTAAATAAACCAGTGATTAATGATAACCCTTGAACAAAGAACTTCAAAATTTATCAATAGGTGACTTAATTTCTCATCTAGTAGAAATGACATAAAGCATTATCTATATATCATCTCAATGTAAAAAACGTTGTTAAGAGTTATAGACATTAATATTAAATTGTGCATACTGAATTTGCCTTCTTAATGATAATAATAATGCAACGATATACTGAATACTATAAAATATACATATTAGAAATCAAAAAATATTAAATTTTCCCCTCTTCATGGAAGCACTATATACAGGGTGGGCCAAAAAAACGCCACTTTTTTTTCAAAATACTAATAATTTTTTTAATTTTTGATATTAAATCATAATTTGCATACCAAATGAAACTTGAGGTTGGCGTGGTGGCGATTTTTGGCCCACCCTGTACATTGTATATCAATTAAGCCCTGGGGCAAAGGCAGCCGTTCTTCTGAATCTTCGTTTTATTGACTAGTAAATGTTGGAGGAGCTGCACATTAATTTCCTCCCTCACCAACTTTTAAAAATAAAGTTACCTACCAACCGTGCTATCATATTTTGATCTAATTTATTGCAGCGATGCCTTACACAGACGCGATGACACATTAAGCAAATCTAATCAACGTGACACATACAATGATCGCACAAAACATTAAACTGATACCGATGACAATACATGAGATATTCCGAGTCATAAATATAGTTCCGAACGTACCGCTCCTTGTTTGGGCATTTATGCTGTATCCCAAGGCGCTTGCAGTCGTCAATCTACGAGGCGCAGGAGCGTCGTTCCCCAGTGAGGTGTACGCAGCGTACATGCCTATATACAAATCAACGAGGTCTGCATTTGTGACACTTAACATGACATACGATGTAGTGGGAAGTGGAAACGGACAGAAACGGATTAAAAAGACGGGACATGACAGCACGCTTGATGTGGAATATGCTGGTTCTGATGGCTTGTTGGGGGAAGATGATTACCTGTCATACCCTGACCTTCAAATGCTTCCTGTGCTTGCAGGGTGAGTTGTATAAAATCTTAACAAGTAAGGGTTTAGTTTTCTTTCAGAACTTAAACTAATAATTCATAGAAAAGGTTAAAGAACTCTGAAAAGCATTCAGATTCGTTGTTTATCCATATCTCACTTCATCATGAGCAGGGATGGGAGGGATTCAATACGGGTTTTATTTCGAGGGACAATATGATATTTCCCGAGGGCCCGGGAAATATCATATTGTCACGAGGAACAAACCCATATTTTATCCCGACCAGGGAATAAGTTTTTATCCCATGATATTCACGACTCTTCATAAAATCATTAGCTCAAAATCCATATCTGATTTTTGTTTGAAATATAACCAGACTTTATATCTAGGACACACTTTATGACTTAATGACATTTTGAAATAGGATAACCACTCACCAACATCAAAAAATTAACAATACATAATACGTGTCAGAGCATGATGATGAAACTACATACTTCTTACGTTTCAAAATCTCTATTTTCAATTAATTTTGTTCGGAAAATATCGTTAACGTTTATCATTTAAGAACATCGTCATAGCACGCTCGAATCGACCCAACTCATCAACTGAACGTAATAGGAAGCTTTGTTTGGCAAAAAATTTGCGGGAGGTGAATACCATTTTCGTGAGCGGGATTAGGAGGTGAATACGATTTTCGTGAGCGGGATTGGGCGGGACAATTCGATTTTCTTCAATAGCAAAAATATTCCCGGATGTTATTCACCGGGAACTAGTTGTATCATGGGATAACTTTCGTATATTCTCTTTCAGGTCAGTGGTGCTGGCATACAACTTACCGGGTATTGATAGCTTAGTTCTGTCTAGAGAGCACGTTACTGGGATCTATAATGGCACCTACACCATGTGGAATGACGGTAGCATTCAGTCTCTCAACCAAGAGAAAGCTTTGCCTTCAAAGTCTATCATCGTAATTGCACGGGCGGACAGTTCAGGAACTACTGAAATTTTCACACAGGCATTAAGCTCATTCAGTCCAAATTGGGCTTTAAACCCTGGTGTTTTCAAACAAGGTATCGGCGATGATGATCTTCCGATCTCATGGAATAATAGTGTTGTTAAACTGTATGGACATACCAACAGGGGTACATCGGGCTTGGTTTTATCATTCAAATATAGTGTCGCATACATATCGTTATCAGACGCATTAACCAGCAACCTGCAGTATGCTCGGATAAAAAATAAGGCGGGAACAATTGTTTCCGCTTCAACCGAATCCATTCAAAACGCTATGGACGCTAAAGTAGATGAGTTTGATGAACGACTTACAACTTCGCTGACAGATGCTGGTGGTTTAAACTCATACCCAATCGCTGGTTATACCTACCTCATCGTATTCAAGACAAGTTTGAATTGTAACTCGGCGGTAGAACTGGTCAGGTACATACGATGGATATATACTTCAAAAGTAGCGTCCAGCGAAGCAGAAATTCGTGGCATGGCAGTCGCAAGTGAAAATGTGGACAAACTCGTAACTGAAAGAGTTCTAAAAACGATGACGTGTGGACTCGATGCTCGCAATGTTTGGGACGTAGTACAAGATGAGATACAAAATGAAGAATTAGCGATGCAAACATGGCGTATCCCTTTGTTTATATGTGTCCCCATTGTAGTCATTGTCTTTGGTACTCTGGTAATATATATTGCTCGCCAACAGTATAAATTAAATCAAGCCCTTTGGAAGGAGGAATGGAAAATATCGAGTTCCAATCTGAATATACTGACTCCTCAAAGTCAAAATGACAATTGGGGATCACGTATGAGTATAATCAAATCAATTGCTGCTTCAATTGGGTCTTCAGTGAAACGGGGGTGGTCTAATGGTAGTCGAAGCAACTGCAGTCGCGATATGACAATTCGATTTTTGCTCAATTCACAGAAATTAGCAAGATGGAATGATAAGATCGTCAATTTGCGACCAGTTAGAATTCAATTACAGCAACTCAAAAATCCTTCAAAAAAGTTGCTCATAACGTTTAAGCACTTTGTACATCATGTTAATGTTGTCAAGTTCTACGGCGTAAGCGAAGTAAAAGACCATATGTATTTTATAACCGAATATTGTCATAAAGCGCAGTTGAGAGACGTTCTGCAGAATGAAAAGTATGTCTTAGATAACAATTTTAAATTTTCCATGAGTGCAGATATTGCCGCTGGTATGGCATACTTACACGGCCTTGACATTATACACCATAGCCTTAGATCGTCATGCTGTTATATTGACAATCGCTGGAATGTGAAGATAGGAGAATGGCAATATTATAAACTTTCACTGTCGCAGAATGATCCGTATGCCAAAGCATTGCCCGAGGAATGCGATTGCATCGAGAGCTCGCAGGAATCCACGAAACACGTAAACGAAACTTATGCCCGCTATCTGCTGTGGACGGCACCAGAGATTGTATCGTCCATAGAAGCTGCCTCTGAGGTGACTTACACCAAAGAAAATGATGTATACAGCTACGGTATACTCATTCAAGAAATATTTACGAGAGAAGATCCTTATATAGAGGCAACAGAGATCCGACCAGCTTCTCAGGTTTTGCATGAAATTGTACACGAGGGGCTCCGGCCAAAATTTACAACGGACACGTCAGGAGGTTTGATATCAATAATGGAATCATGTTGGACAAGTAATCAAGCAGAACGGCCGCCATTCGGAAAAATCTTGAAAAAAATAACACAAGTGAATCCATCTAAGAAAAGCGTTATCGACTGCATGATGGAAACTTTAGAGAGTTACGTTGCTGATCTTGAATCTAAGGTTGAAGAAAGGACGGAAGAACTAGCTGTTGCGATGAGTAATGTACAAACTCTGTTGCATAAGATCCTTCCGCCATCTGTTGCGACAAAATTATCAAAAGGCGAAGCCGTTGAACCAGAATATTCTGACGCATGTACAATATTTTTCTCGGATATTGTCGGCTTCACCAACCTCTCCTCCGAGTCTAAGCCGCTTGAGATTGTCACCATGCTCAATCAGTTGTATTCAACGTTTGATGGCATCATCGATAATTACGACGTGTACAAAGTTGAAACAATAGGGGATGCATACGTGGTTATATCGGGGCTACCAAATAGAAACGAAGAGAGACACGTCGGTGAAATCGCCACAATGGCTCTTGACTTCGCTGTTGCATCTGCAGATTTTGTAATCCCGCATTTCCCCGACAGGGCTTTAATGTTGCGCATTGGGATTCACTCGGGTCCAGTAGTTGCTGGAGTCGTGGGTCAAAAGATGCCGAGATATTGCCTGTTTGGTGATACTGTCAACACAGCCTCCAGAATGGAAAGTACGTCAGTGCCTAGGAAAATACAAATCTCAGAGAGCACGAACAGACTGTTACACCAATTGGGGGGATATATCACAGCAAAGCGGGGACAAATCCACATAAAGGTAATGCATCCAACAGTTTAACACGCTGTTCGATCTTTTTTTCAAATGCTTATTCCTTATTCAATATAATTGAAAAGCAAAAACTATACTGCAATGGGGAGGTTTAGACCCACGCGTTTTTCAAACGTGTTGAATTTCAGTCACCTAAGGATGAGTTATCCCGTCACATTATCTACTCGCCCGATTCTATATAAAGTTATAATGAACAAGTTTTCTCAGAAACGTGTAGCATAGTTACCTCTCTGTTATCAGCCTGACCCAATCTGACTCCACTGTCATAAATAGCATGTTTTGTCATCTGTTTGCAGGGAAAAGGAGAAATGGAAACGTTTTGGTTGACGGGAAAACTGTTTTATGACAAGACTGTACCTCCTGAATTTCTGCGAGAAGTGTCTGACGCCAATTAACAGTTTAAAGATCAAGTGCGAGGATATAGATTATAGTAACTGAGTATGATGGCAAATGCAACAATAGGCGAAAAGAAGTGAAAGGTCGTCATTCTAGCGAAGGTTTTATAAATCGATAAATACGGAAATACATGGCCTTGTTGTTGGAAATGAGTTCATTGGTACTGCCTATTCAAACTACTGTAGTTATCGAAACAGATCCGTCTTAGTAACAAGATATCGGGACGAAGTTACGATTTTGTTTTTTCCTCATTTTACGAATTGTAGGCAGAATGTCTACGACATTTTATCACAAACGTGTGTCAGTATCAGATGTTTGGGAGAATCTACACGTTTGCGAACTAAGTAATTTTGAGATCTTTATGTAGTATACATAAATTTTGGGATTGCTACTCCGTGGAGTTGCCGTTTTCTAGTTATATTCCATAAAACGATTTTTGGCGCGGTAACTTTTAAAGATGGCATCTGAGAAAAAGAATTTTACAGAAAATCATCACCTTATCGATGTACGAGTATAAGGAATAAACGTGTAAGGGATATCCAACAGTTCAATACTTTTTACGACATCGTCCATTGGGATTTTTACTAGAGCACTTTTGGAAAAAACTCCACTAATTTTCGACTCAATAAAGTTCTAGCATTCGGCGGGTTTGTCGTGAAATTACTCTTCCAAACCAGTCAAGCTATCATCACCAAAACAGCTTTGGACAGACGTCTCCATTCAATTATCAAGCATTAAAGTCACGGGGTACCATCGAATAATTTTGGCAACGTACCGGAGAACGACATTTTACTAAGAAATGGCAATAATTTAGCACAATATATTTTTTAACTAGAGTTCTATTTTGATTTTGACAAAAGTAAGTATTCCATGCAATAACTATTTCATTCATGAGTTTGTAGGAATTCTGTTGGAACCCAGTTCTGATCAAGTACGAAGTTATTGAAATCGGCGCAGACGGACTTTACTCCGAAAGATGGTTTTTCGCTTATAACTTTTCACAACATTTAAGTATAGACTTTTGAAAAAAGTACAGAATAGTCCTTATACTTTTGAATAATCCTGTTATTTCTGATTCACACGACTCTGATTTGTTTAATTAAAAAAAAAGTTTTAAAAATATTACTTAGGAACGTAACCGGAGCTGGGAACGTAACCGGAGCAGATCAGTTGAATTATTTAATCAAAAAAATTAAAATATATGATTTAAAGCACATATACTAATCTAAAAACATACGGGATTGTTCGAATGCGTATTTATTAATATATATGCTTTAAATCATATATTTTATTTTTTTAAATTATATAATTCAACTGATCTGCTCCGGTTACGTTCCCAGCAATTTGCCAAGTACTGCTTCGAACCCGTTACAACAAGTGACCTGGTTAGGAGGACACGTTCTGTATTCAGTCCTGTACATTGTTTTCTGGCGGTACAATGTCACCTTTCTACAAAAACACTATCGGTACTGTATTTTGAAACAATCAGAAAACGGGGAATAACGAAATTATACAGCTAGGTGTAACCTGGAAAGCCTAATAAAATACAATGAGACATTATGAAATTGCTACTATAATTTCACTTTTATCTAAATGTAAAAAATACATACACGTCGTGGAAGTATTCCATGCAATGGCTATTTCATTCATGAGTTTGTAGGAATTCAGTTGGAACCCAGTTCTGATCAAGTACGAAGTTATTGAAATCGGCGCAGACGGACTTTACTCCGAAAGATGGTTTTTCGCTTATAACTTTTCACAACATTTAAGTATAGACTTTTGAAAAAAGTACAGAATAGTCCTTATACTTTTGAATAATCCTGTTATTTCTGATACACACGACTCTGATTTGTTTAATTAAAAAAAAAGTTTTAAAAATATTACTTAGGAACGTAACCGGAGCTGGGAACGTAACCGGAGCAGATCAGTTGAATTATTTAATCAAAAAAATTAAAATATATGATTTAAAGCACATATACTAATCTAAAAACATACGGGATTGTTCGAATGCGTATTTATTAATATATATGCTTTAAATCATATATTTTATTTTTTTAAATTATATAATTCAACTGATCTGCTCCGGTTACGTTCCCAGCTCCGGTTACGTTCCTAAGTAATATTTTTAAAACTTTTTTTAATTAAACAAATCAGAGTCGTGTGAATCAGAAATAACAGAATTATTCAATAGTATAAGGACTATTCTGTACTTTTTTCAAAAGTCTATACTTAAATGTTGTAAAAAGTTATAATCGAAAAACCATCTTTCGGAGTAAAGTCCGACTGCGCCGATTTCAATAACTTCGTACTTGATCAGAACTGGGTTCCAACTGAATTCCTACAAACTCATGAATGAAATAGCCATTGCATGGAATACTTACTTTTGTCAAAATCAAAGTAGAACACTAGTTAAAAAATATATTGTGCTAAATTATTGCCATTTCTTAGTAAAATGTCGTTCTCCGGTACGTTGCCAAAATTATTCGATGGTACCCCGTGAAAGTTCAACTCTAAAAGCAAAATCTAATGACAGTGCTGCTGCTATCAAGGGTCGTATAATCAAGCACATTATTACTCTCAGATCAGTAATAATATTATTAATGTAATATTAACTTAATTAATTAAAAAATGTCAAATCCTTTTTATTTATAAATATGACCATAGAGATCAACACCTGTATATTCCAAAGTATATTTATTTTACATCTACGTATTATATCAATTAACAAATGCTATTTAAACAAAATAACACATATTTCTGATATGAGCGCATGTGAATAAACAAACTAAACGCAAAAAAATTGTGATACATATAACATGATGCCTCTAAACTGTCTATTTGGTTCTACCATTGAGTAGTTCATGTAACAAAGTACTGTTGTCTCTTTAATAAAATGGATCAAAAATATGTTGCATGTTTTGTCATTATGGCATCGTTGTCAGGTAAGTCAATCTTAGAGGTAAATCCAAGGACATGTAGCATTTTCAGAAACTGCCTTAATTTTAATATCTGTTTCATTTATACAAGGACGTCTATCTCAGACGTCCTTGATTTATATATAGATCATTCCATATTTTTGAATTAAAGTATCATTTAAAGTTATGGCTATTTTTCGAACGAATTAGGCCTACAAGTTAATTTTTATTTTGAAGAATTCAAATGAATAATTCTACCGTTTAATAACAGATCACGGATACATTGGATGTTAACTTAAGGATTGTCAAGAAGTCGCATTATCTCATCTGGTGGTACAACATGTACAATGTACCAGTTAAATATGAACCGATATGATTTCATTTTTTCATTAACTTCCTGAGAAACGGACAGTAAATTCCTATTAGCTCGATTTTCTCGCCTTTTGATATAGTGTTGATTAAATATTCTAGTTTAATTAATTCAATAGCTTTTATAATATTTACTACATTATGGTTACGTTAACTGTTTCACAAGTACTCTTTAAATACACCAAATAACTATCTACAAATCCTGTTCTGATTTGGCTTCTATTTTATTTATGTCATGGTCAAACCGTATTCAAACGAACACCAAAGCTGATCATAATTTATATGTTATATTCTGACGTTTCAGCATCATACATTAATATCAAGTCTTAAAATGGTTGCTATAGCAACACGGGGGAACGGGTGGGAGGGGCAGGTAAAATTTTCTAATGAAAAGCTCCAAAGTGTTATTTTATTAATATTTCTTTCTTTTAAATGATCAAAATGTTTGGGGAAATTGTTAAACTTATTCAGCATGATGTTCACCAAGTACAAATATGACATTTAGCACTGTGATGTCGTAATATCACAGCTCAATAGTCACAAATTCAAATTCAGCCAAAGTCAAGAAATTGCAAAAATGGCTGCAATTCTCACCTGGTAACAAAAGCCCTTGCGTTTGGTGGCCCAATTTCATACTTCACTTGGACTCACAGCCAAACAAACTTATGTTACTATGAAGTATACAAGAACACAAATGTGTACAAAATGTCCCCACCTATGGGTGATCCTGTTATCCTAAAAATGAGTAGACAAGACTTTACCGACACAATTTGATGACGGAAAATCCAAAATGGCCACCTTAAAATTTACCTAGAATGCCAAAAAACTAATCAGATCTAGATTTTCATACTAAGAATCATCCCTGAAAATTTGAAATTGATCTACAAAACGGTTCACCTAAAAACGCGTAGACAAGACTTTACGGGCAGGATTTTAAGACGGAAAATCCAAAATGGCTGCCTTGGCATTTATCCAGAATGCCAAAAAACTAATCAGATCTAGATTTTCATACTAAGAATCATCCCTGAAAATTTGAAATTGATCTACAAAACAGTTCACCTAAAAACGCATAGACAAGACTTTACGGGCAGGATTTTAAGACGGAAATCCAAAATGGCTGCCTTGACATTTATCCAGAATGCAAAAAAACTGATCAGATCTAGATTTTCATATTAAGAATCATCCCTGAAAATTTGAAATTGATCTACCAAACGGTTCACCGGGAAATGCGTAGACAAAACTCTACAGACAAGATTTTAGGACGGAAAATCGAAAATGGCTGCCTTGGCATTTACCCAGAATGCCCAAATACTAATCAGATCTAGATTTTCATACTGAGAATCATCCCTGAAAATTTGAAATTGATCTACAGAACTGTTCACCTGGAAATGCGTAGACAAGACTTTACAGACAATATTTTAGGACGGAAAATCCAAAATGGCTGCCTTGACAATTACCCAGAATGCCAAAAAACTAATCAGTTGTACATTTTCATATTAAGGATCATCCCTGAAAAATTGAAATTGATCTACCAAACAGTTCACCTGAAAACGCGTAGACAAGACTTTACAGACAAGATTTTAGAACGGAAAATCCAAAATGGCTGCCTTGACATTTACCCAGAATGCCAAAAAACTAATCAGATCTAGATTTTTATACTAAGAATCATCCCTGAAAATCAAGAATTGATCCACCAAACGGTTCACCTGAAAACACGTAGACAAGACTCCACAGACAAGATTTTAGGACG